ATGAAGCTTCCGTTCAGACTTGGCACATCTCAATATTTCTATCAGCACAAGATGTGTTATAAAGATGGTAGAAATCGGACCATTCCTTCTGGTACATCCTCCACAAAGGGTCAAAGTTTTGTATTACCAAAACGATTATAAAATCCGAAATGAGCATCCTGTTCTACTCATATTTCACAAATCCTATTATTTCTACTAACACAAAATCTGATGTGAGGATGGGATGTATCAGTCCCCTCCTTCTGGTACCTACTACCCTACAAAGGGTCAAAGTCTTAAATAACCCAAACGGTGATAAAATCCGAAAAAATCTTCCAGTTCTCTTCATATTTCAAACATCCAATTATTTCTACTAACATAAGATCTGCTGTCAAGATGGGATATATCGGTCCACTCCTTCTCGTACCTGCCCCACAAAGCTTATAAAACGCGAAATTAAAATCCGATTCCATTCAGACTTGGTACATCTCAATATTTCCATCAATACAAGATCAGTTTTTAAGATGGTAGAGATCGGAACATTTCTTCTGGTACCTTCCCCACATAAGGTTCAACATTTTAAGAATCAAGCCCCTCAAAGAAAGCGAAATAAGCATCCAACTCTCTTCAAATTTCAGACATAGAAATATTTTTGCTAACGCAGGATCTGCTGTAAAGATGATATATATCTGCCAAGCCCATTCTGGTACCTCACCCACAAAGGGTCACAATTTCCAATACTTATATCTGTCATAACTCGCGAAAAAAGTCGGTGTTACACTTAAATATTTCTCTTAATAGAAATCTGATGGGAATATGTAATTTATCTAAATTTATGATTTCGCATAAAATTAGCTATAAATGTTCGATTTCCTTCAAATTTTGCACAAGTATGGAAATGGAATAATTCGGTACGCTATATTTTCCAAAAAATTGCACATATCTTTCGATGAGTTACAACCGGAATGACGAACTTAATATACCAAACATATGATTGCATGACGTTACCTTCTTAATTCTATCATCATTTTAGCCAAGACAGGGAAAAGCATTAGGTTTAATTTTCGAATACATATTTTAAAGGGTTTTTAATTTTTGAGAACATTTGTGTAAGGATTGCCAAAATAGTAATTGTTGATTTTTTACGTTTAGATTTACGAAATCAACTCGATCTCAAATGCCAATTCCATAGAGTCAAATACGCCAAATAAATTCTACTGGATTTCTGAATGAGAATTACGTGACGTATACGTTCTCTAAGATACGTAGAATAGTGGATTAAAAAATCGAATGTATCTCTACTGTCAGTTTCATTGCGTATACGTCTATGAAATCCAATCAATTTATGTTTTGACGTGTTCGCATTGCAATGACAGTTGAAACCAACTGGATTTTTTATAAAATAAGCCTAAAGACTTGTTTACATCGAATTTGATTTAATAAAACGCGTCATTTAGAATGTCAAATTCGTGGTAGAAGAATGCAGGTAGTCGCATCGACACAGCTACTGGGACAATGAACTGTCAAACCGATTTTGGAATTAAAAATCTTGAATGAAAAATTATTGAAATTTGTAAAAATTGTTGAAAAATACATTTCATTACAACATCCAACTTGCGTCGTATAAGAAAACATATAAAAAGCTACTTATTTTTGACAAAACACTTTAAAATTTTTGACATATTAATATTCCCAAGCGTTGATGCATCTACCTATATTCTTCTACCATGGGTAGGTGCATCAACGCTTGGGAACATTGATATGTCAATGTTTTGACAGAAGTAAGTAGATTTCCATATGTTTTTATACGACACAAATAGGGGGTTGTTTTTTCAACAATTTTTACAAATTTCAATAATTTTTCATTGTAATTTTCAATTCTAGAATTGGTTTGACAGTTCATTGTGTGGATTCGACTACCTGTATTTATTCTATCATTGTCAAATTCTTTGATTATACGACAAATAAATTACGTTCCTTCATGTAAAAATTAATTTAAAAACCAGTCCAAAATTTTTTTAGGTCAATACAAAGTATCTACTTACCGAATAAATGACTCCTTTAAAACAAACTGCTATACAAAGCTGATGTTCTTTAATAATTGTTTTGTTCAAATTTTGAACGCACAATTTTTTGTTTGTGAACTTAGTATTGCAGGAAGAATATTGTAATATTTATTCCCAGACGGAATGTTAATAATGACAAATATTAAAAAACAATTCAATGTTATCTTATATTTTTATTCACCTTTTTTATTTCTCGACCCACTGTGGCACAATGCAAACATTTAATATTGTCATTAAATAAACCACTGTACAAAAACAAATTCAATTAGATTTTAACTCTTCTTCTTTCATTAAATCTGTGTTAAACGCCAAAAAATGCCGGTTGTGAACAAACAAATAATAAATGTCAACAAAAACTACCAAGCAATCACACCAAATATGTGTTAGACTTGGCGGATATTAAAGAGAGAGAGAGGGATGAATGGATATATTTTGCTTATGGGGGATGTTGCTCACAGTGTTGCCATTTTCGGGGAGTTTTTTATATGGAATACCCTTAAAAGTTTATGTAGCCACGACGTTAAAACTGTAATGGATCTATACTTTTTTAGAAGACCTTTAAAAGGAATTCTATTAACAGAAACTGTCCCTTAGAAGACGACTTCTTTATAAGAACGTAATTAGTCATTAGAGTCTCCTATCTACATTGGATTTTGAATTTATAAACAAAAATTTGTTATATTTACAATTTTTTTTGGGGGGAAGCAAAATCAAACGTGTTTTATCTATAGAATAAGTTTTTTGGTCGGGTTCCAAAAAGTACTAGTAAAAGATTCATATCATTAAGGCAACACTGTTAAATGTTCAAATCTCTTGTTGCATGTAAACGCCACGTTATGTTACTCTTGAACCGGTCCATTTGACGTACTTTTAACTCTAATGTTCTTTTTGTTGTTTCTCATTGCAAATATCGCATAATTTCACCGTCTAACATGCAACATATGATTAACAGTTTTAATTTTCTTTAAAAAATACATTCATTTATAACAAATGTTTGACACGTTATCCTTGCAGTCAACACTTCATTGTTTTTACCAAACAACTTAAACAGCTGCTTTGATTTTTATGACCATTCAAATCGAAGATTATTTTTGTTGTTGTATTTTCTTTGTTTCGTTTATATCCGAGAAGTTTTTCAACGTTCGAGAAAATACGACTGTTCGCTTGAAACTTACACAAAGTACTGAAGAGACTGCGAAGTTACGATGGGCACAAAAAGCTTTTGCGTACTTCGTTTTGTTTTCTTCTTATCTCCCATGGAGCTTTGCGGGTATTTAGGGGAGCTTTTTTGCGACTACCGCTAAAGGAAACAATAGGATGTCACTAAGTTTTTTTCTCATTTGAAATTAGTTAGTGAAGATGGGATTGATGAGGGGAATGAGCATATTTAAGGTCTTCAAATGCGTAAAAGTTTGGGGAGATGCATATTTAAGATTCGTTACCTAGTAAGGACATGGCACCAAAATTTTCAAGGAAGGCCAAAGAAACCATCCGAATACAAATTTTTCTTATGGTGACCTTTTTATGTCAATACAGAATATGCAGAGATGGATATGCTTATTTTATCAATTAATTTTAATTGAATTAAAAAAAAGGTTTTCACCTCTGTTTTTATACCCACTCCACAAGGTGGTAAGGTATTATGTATTTGTGCATTTGTTTGTAACAGGCAAAAGGAAACGAGATAGACCCATAGTTCCTTTTGATGATCTGCATAGAATCACATTCTGAGTCGATTTATGCATATCCATCTGTCTATGTATTTTTGTAAACAAAATACAGGTCGCATTTATGGTCCGATCCAGATGAAATTTTGCACAAGTCATTTGTTTGACCCAAGGACGAACGATATAGCTCGCATATATATTTTTGTCCGATTTGCCTTTTATTGTGCACCAAACGTTTAATATTAGACCAAATGAGATAAAATTTGTCACGTACAAAGAATTAACCATGAAAATAGGTATGTCAAATTTGATCGAAATCAGTTCAGATATAGCTATAGCTCCCATACATGTTATTTTTGTCCTCCGCAGACGTAATATGTACTCTATAACAAAGATTTTGGGAGAAATATGTCAAATACATATACAAATATGTCAAATATAAATACCTTTACCCGATTTTATTGAGATCGGTTCAATTTTGGATACAGCTCCCTTGCATATCTTCGTCCAATTTGCTTTTTATTATACACTAAACATGCAATCTTAACCCAAATGGGATGGAATTTGGCTCTTACGACCAAATTGAGTTTAGAAACAAGTATGTCAAATTGGATGAAAATCGGTTCAGATATAGCTATAGTTCGCATATATGTATATTGTTCATCCGATTTTTTTTTTTGTTGTCCTCCACGGCCATAATATCCCCTCCGTAACAACGATATTCCAGGAAAAATATATCAAATACAGCTTATAAAAACCTTTGTCCGATTTTATCGAGATCGGTTCAGATTTGGATATAGCTCCCAGATATATCTTCGTCCGATTTGCCTTCTATTGTGCACCAAACGAGTAATATTAGCCCAAATGGGATGGAATTTGGCACTGAGTTTAGAAACAAGTATGTCAAATTTAGTGAAAATCGGTTCAGATATAGCTATAGCTCCCATATATAATGTTCATCCATCCCATATATAGTGTTCAACCATCCCATACATAATTTTCAGTTGAACAACCTTTCTTATTGTGCCATGGTTGGTATGATTTAATTCCCAATAAAAACTTTTATTTATTATGTGAAGCTCTACTAAATATGCAAATGGTATTATAAAGTCGACCTCGACCGATTATTAGAATTTACTGGTTTTATATATATTTTTAAATGTTGAAAAAAATCAACAACCAAAGGAACTAATCTATTAAATATAGGGAACTACAAATCGACTTTTATACCATATCGCAGTAATCGATAAGTTCAACATCGACTTTAGGAACCCTACCCTTGTATTTCTGTTTGTTTGTTGTTGAGTGGGGAAGTGTCAAGTCAGTCGATCGCTGTTGTTTTTCGAATAGAAAATAAAACAAGTTTACACATAAATATAATTTATAGCCATTAAAAGTGTTATTTATTGCTATTAGATTTTCAAGTAAAAGTGAAAATGAAAAAATCCATTGAACTTGGCGGTTGTGCATCAACAAACAGACAACAATAAAGAGAATCGAAAGTGAAGTGAAAAATGTATACCAAGAACGACGAACAAGTGCAAATGTTGTGTTTGTTGTATACAAAAATCTAAACCTAAACCCGTTTGAAAGCCTACGTACGTTAAAATAGCTTGGCAGCTAATAAGCATAATTGTAATTTATTCTTTAAAAATAGCTAAGTGTATGGAATTATAAGAAGTTCTTCCACCCCATGACACACATGCGGAACAAAGGGCCAAACGCTTAGGAGGGAAGGAGATAAGATTTTCAAATCTCTTACAACAGACATCAACAACAGGCACAGCTGTGTTGGTGTGTGGCCCCCGTGCACATTTTGTTTGTGTCTTTTTTGCGGCCTGTCGTGTCTGGCCGTTGTCTGATTGCCTGCTTATTTGAATTACTTGCTGCAAGCAGTCAAGTCAGACGAAAAATACACGTTTACGGCGTCTGAAGTGGACAATAACAGCAACAAAGACAATAGCATAGCATTGCACTTTTTTCGTGACTACTTGTGTGGTGTTTGTTAAGCTTTTGCTGTTTTGTCTCGGTTATTTACTTCTGTATTCAAAAGTGTCTGTAGCCCAGTGCATATTTGCACTGCAACCACTGTATGATATCGTTGATATCAAGTGCGTTATTGACATCATTGGGAGTTATGAGTGGTCAACAAAATCAAAACGTAAATCAACAACAACAGCAGCCGGCAGGTGCCAATCAGCAACAAAACCAGCCCCAACAGAATGCTGGCGGTGCTGCGGCTGGGGGCGGCCAGTTAGCTGCAGCTGCTGGCAACAATCATCAGAACTCTGCTGCCGAGGGAAGCATGGAGAGAGGCAGGTCAGTATTTGAATTTATATACGTCTTATGATGACAAGAAATTAATTGGTGGCGAATATTTGTTTAGGCTTAACACCAGTATAAAATATAGGATTTCTGTGGAACCGGGAATGGTAATGACAGATATTGTAACATTTCGAGGAGGTTGGTCAGCTATAATCTGGTACTTATTTCATGATTCCCCATAATGGGCTTTATTTAACATTTTCGGGAATTCCAAAAATTGATAATGCTAATGTAACTCCCGAACATCTTTCATGGTATTAGAGGATAGGTAGCCATTTTAAGCACTTGACGATGCGATTTACCTTGACAGGGGTTCATTGATACACCGGCTTTGGCGGACAAAAGTAGGACAGTTGCATAGTAGGTGTTCAAAACTTCCTGAGTATCATTGAGTCTGCGACTTCCAAATTCAGTCGCTATAAACCAATTTTTGTATGCTTGCAATTTCGTGATGCGGAATACAGACAGCTGTAGATTCTTTTCAAGGGACATGTTTGCTGTGTTGAATATCCAAAAATTAATTGACTTTGTGACTTCTGGCTTAGATCCAGACATATGTTTCTTCTTTTTCATATTGGATTTTTTCACACCACTAAATTGAGGAGATACCAGTTCTTAGATAAGTTTAGATTGGAATTTGGACTGCGACTTCCAAATTTCATGATGCGGAATACAGACAGCTATAGGTGCTTTCGTGACTGTTTTCACTTAATTCATGTATTTTAATTGTCAGTAAGCAGTTTATGATATATTTTATATAAAAACATTTTTAAATCCACTGCAAATTGCGTTAATTTGGCAACCAGTGATTATCCATCGATATAAGTTATGTCGATGGTGGTCAGGGTATTATGTCTTTGTGCATTTGTTTGTAACAGGCAAAAGGAAACGAGAAAGACCCATAGTTCCTTTTGATGATCTGCTTTTAATCACATTCTGAGTCGATTTATGTTTGTCCATCAGTCCGTCTATCCATGTATTTTTATAAAAATGTAAAGATCGCATTTATTGCCTGATCCAGGTGAATTTTGCACAAGTCTTTTGTTTGACCCAAGGTCGAACCCTATTGAAATTGGAGAAAATCCGTAAAAATTTAGATTGAGCTTCCATGTATATATTTGCCTTTTATTGTTCACCAAAAGTGTAATATCAGCCCAAATACTATGGAATTATGCATTAATATTTTTGTCCTCCGCAGCCGTTATATGCACTCTGTAAAACAATATTTGAGGAAATATATCGAATACAGCACAGCAATGTCTTTCCCAAATTTTATCGAGATCGATTCAGATTTGGATATAGGTGCCATATACATCTTCGTCCGATTTGCCTTTATTGTGCCATATACATCTTCGTCCGATTTGCATTTATTGTGTACCAAACGTGTAATATTAACCCAAATGTGATGGATTTTGGCACTTACGACCAAAATGAGCCTAGATACATGTATGTCATATTTGGTGAAAATCGGTTCAGATATAGCTATAGCTCCCATATATATTGTAAATCCGATATTAGCCATTTGGTGCACAATTAACCCGAAATCGGTTTAAGATACATTATTCACTTTAAATGTTTTAAATTTGGTATTTGAAGTTCGTAATGGATACTACAGCCTATGACAGGAAATTATCTCTGCAGGTCCACGTCTTCATATAGCCCCCATATAACGGTATCTCCCGATATTCGGCATTTTGATGATTTTAGTGACAATATTCGCCGGAATTGTTTTAAATTTGGTATTTGAAGTTCGTAAGGGATACTATAGCCTATGACAGAAAATTGTCTGTGCAGGTCCACGTTTTGGTATAGCCCCCATATAATGATACCTCCCTATATTCGGTATTTTGATGATTTTAGCTACATTATTCACCGATTTTTTTTTTTTTCAAGTTTCGCATTTGAATATTGTAATGGCTTATTACGAAAGTTGCCTATGCAGATCCACGTCGTCGTACAGAAACTAATATGACGGCTACATTCGCTATTTTTAAGATTTTAACAGTATTTTTAACGAATTTTTTTTTCAAAATTGCCAAATTCGCACCAAATGTTGCAGGGTGCTCAAAGTTCGGTCCGGCCGAACTTACAGCTTTTTTTCTTGTTCTTTTTATATGCAGTAGGAGTTCGTTTCGTTACATGACTGTGGTTTCCCCTATAGATTTTTTTCGAAACCATATAGGGTATTAATTCAAGCAATTGTTAATTTCTTTTATGTCATCATTCGCCATTGCACATTGCAAAATAATACATAAATTAATTAGTTATGAGTACGTAAACTCATATAGCAATAATAATAATATTTTTCTTGTCTTTATATCTTTGCAGCTGTTTATTACGTTATGCGAGCCAAAATTCATTGGATGAAAGTTCTCAGAAGCACATACAAAGGCCCAACAGTAAAGATCGTTGTGTGGGCCAATATCACAATGAACTACATACTACACGTTCCTTCGAAGCCATGAACGAGATGCGCAAGTAAGCTACATTTAAAAATATGCCATTTCAAATTGACAGATAGATAATTTATTTTAAGAACCAATGAATGTAGTGCATTCTTTTATTCTGATTTTTTGTTCAACAAAAAAATAATTCGAACATCTACGCACATTGTACAGAATGACGAGGGGTTTGTTTATTGATGTGTGTTGTTGGCCGGCAGACCCATCAGTGTACACAGCAGTGCAAACTTGTTTGATACTTTTCATCGTTGTACACAAAATTATTCTTATGCATTTTTTCTATAAATATTAATTTTTTCGTATTTAAATATTTGTAAGGTCCCCTTGTTCTGCATGGGTCTTTTTTCTTTTGTTATGCAAATATTTTGTTGTTGTTTTTTATATTTATTGCTAATTCTTGTTTTGTTTTCTTTTTTTGTTTATCACAAACACAAACAAACAAATGTTGTTATGATTTGTTAAAAATCATCATGAATATTTATTTAACCCTGAACTTGGTAGCTTGTTGATGGCAGTCAGCGCCGTTAGCTGTCATATATCAATGACAATGTCTTTCGTTTTTGTTTCGGAAAAGATTTTAATCTCTTGTGGAATATTTCTAATATATTCTTGTAATTTGTTCAGCCTAAGTAATTATGGAAAAATTTCATGTTTTAATTTATATATATACAGGCTATTTATTTTTTCCAAGTCATCAATGCTGTTTTTTTTTTTTTTTTTTTTTTGTACAAATTATTAAACGTTTAAAGTAAATTCCTTCACCTTAGCAAATTAATAATCTACAATAAAACATTCGTATATATACAAAGAACAAATACGTAGGTATTTGTTCGCTTTTATTTCAATATTTATTTTCTACTTTAAGCAAAAAAGCAAATAGAGAAATAAACTCATGGGCATTGTTTATTCAAAAGCTGTAAATAAGAAGCTTAAAGCAGATTTTTTTCGAAAAACTTTGTCTTTTGTTTTAAGTTATTGATAATAATTATATTAATTATCATGTACTAAGATTTGTCACATACCCAACTGATAAAATAACTAAAGATTGTTAACCCGTTATCGCGTGGATAACAAAGTTACACACACTTTAAATAGCTGTTGTGGAAGTACTGTTTGTTGTATTCTTCATAACAGAATATTCGGTTTGCAAAATATCCAAGATAAGCTGAAATAAATAAGTTTTTCGTTGATGGTTTGATTCTAGTGGGAAGATCTTAAAGAAATATGTTAAGCTAGAGGAGAGGTAAAGTGAGTTTTTTTGTAATATTTCTACTACTGCTACATAGTGAGCTGACGTTTGTTTTGGTTTAAGGAATGAAAAGATTTATAGGGAGAAGTGTAGTTAGGAGGATGGCATGCCTAGCCATGGTTTGGCTTGGGCAAATTTGTAAATGATGATGGGATCTATATCTGAGAAGAACATTAGAGTTTCTATCTCCACTTCCAAAATAGCCTATGTGTCTTCTCGGACATGTGCCAAGCAGATGTTGAACCGCCTCTATCCCTTCTTCATATCTGATACTGCAGTGACCAGTCAGTATGCCCACCATTACTCTTAAATCAAACGACCTACTAAGTGATAGTAGGTAGCTTGTTATACCCTACACCACATAGAGGTAAGGGTATTATATCTTTGTGCATTTGTTTGTAACATGGAGAAGGAAGCGAAATAGACCCTTAGATACTTTTGAGGATTTTCATAGAATCACTTGCTGAGTCGATTTATGCATGTCAGTCAGTCCATCCATGTATTTTTGTGAACAAATGCGGTTCGCATATATTATCCGATTGAGATGAAATTTTCCAAACAATTTTTGTTTGACCCAATGACGAACCTTATTGAAATTGGTGAGAATCGATTCAAATCTACATATAGCTTCCATATACATCTTCAACCCTTTTCGGATTAATTGTGCACCAAATGGCCAATATCAGTCCAAATGACCTGAGTTTTTGCACAGCCGACATCAAATTTTATGAAAGAAAACTCCCATGTATATGTTTCAGTCGGGGTTTTAAGTCCCTCTCATGTGCACTCCAGAATAATGATATTTGGTACCATAAATCAGATACAGCTCAGAAGTAAGTGCCTAAAATGTTGTCAAGATCGGTTCAGATTTGGATATAGCTTCCATATGTACATTTATTCGATATCAAGTTTATAGTATAGTAATATCCGTCCAATAGAAATGTCAAATTTTATCGAGATCGGATCAGATTTGGATATAGCTCCCATATGTATCTTAATCCGATATCAGGTTTATTGTGCATCAAATCGCTAATATCAGCTCAAGTGATCCGATTCTTGGTAATTCCGACCGAATTCATCCTCGAAATAAGTACTTCAAGTTTGCTGAAAATCAGTTCAGATATAGGCATTGCTTCCATATATATGTTTGTCCGATTTGATGTTTAATTCGCTCACATTCGTAATATGCCCTCCAAAACAATAATATTTGGTACCATAAATCAGATACAGCTCCGAAATAAGTGGCTAAAATTTTGTCAAGATCGGCTCAGATTTGGATATAGCTCCCATATGTATCTTTATCCGATATCAGGTACCTAAAATGTTGTCAAGATCGGTTCAGATTTTTATATATCGAATTTTGACCTTTCCTTACTGGTTTTTCTACTCGAGATATAGTCACTGGCCCTGATATTACATTTTTATCGCATTTTTAAATACAAGAGTCTCCATCTGAAAAAACACTACAATTGACATTAGGTCTATATGAGGAATTAATGATTGGATTTGGCCTGAGTACGCCGATACCGATGCCTTCAACATCTTGGAACCTTCTGTGAATATGGCCAGACCATCCAGAGGAAGTTCACCATCTGCCTAGCGGCCCTTTTAGGTACGGTGCATCAATGTAACTAAAACCGGAAAAGGTTAACATATCAATAATTTCATCACCTTTCGACTTGTAGGTATGTCTAGGATTCGTGCGATACCAATACCCAAAAAGTGTCATCCTACCGCTTAACGTATTCTTAGAGCACTTCTAAAAACTGAAACTAGCATGACGTTCAATGCAGATTTAGGAACACTCTTGAGAGTTGTTGTTAATTTGCAAAGAGGGACTCAATCGAATGCCACCACAACTGGCAAGACCACTGTGGCATACATCCAATGTAAGAATTGTTTTCTAAGCCCACAGCCTTTGTCTATAGGATTCCCGCATATAGTTGTTACGGTGATTTTCTACATTTTGACTGAGGAAAGGGCCCGTTACGAAATTCTTGATTTTTTCCTTTTTGATTTTTTGTTTTTTTTTTCCTTATCTAATGTGTAGCCCGGCATTGTTTCTTATAAACACACAATTTTAAAAATATTTTCACATAAATGTCTTAAAAAAACTTAAAATTCTTCCATTATCATAGCCACCAATATATTATATATCCTTCCATTCTACTTCAGGCAAAATCTCCTCTGCGATGTTACCCTCATTGCTGAAGATATTGAAATACCTGCACATAAAATGGTTTTGGCATCATGCAGTCCATATTTCTATGCAATGTTTACGGGCTTCGAGGAATCACGACAAGGACGCATTACTCTACAGGGTGTTGATCATCATGCTCTTGAATTGCTCATCGAATATGTTTACACATCGACGGTGGAGGTCAATGAGGATAATGTACAAGTTTTACTTACGGCTGCCAATCTACTGCAATTAACGGATGTCCGAGATGCCTGTTGTGACTATTTGCAAACCCAATTGGATGCCAGCAATTGTTTGGGTATACGTGATTTTGCCGATATGCATGGATGTGTGGATCTAGTGAATTATGCCGAACAGTATATTGAACAGCATTTTAAGTAAGTATAACGGGAGATGTGCTTATTTGCTTCTTTTATTTGATATCAAAATCATCTTTTTCAGTGAAGTAATCCAATTCGATGAATTTCTAAACTTAACTTCAGAACAAGTTATTTTGCTCATACGCAACGATCGCATTTCCGTAGCCAGTGAAGAGAAGGTTTACGAGTGTGTCATAAATTGGATACGTTATGACCCAACATTACGAGAACAATACACTGCCGATTTAATGGAACACGTTCGTTTGCCCCTCTTGTCCAAGGAATATATAACACAAAATGTTGACAAAGAACCCTTGCTGGAGGGAAATATTGTCTGTAAGAATCTGATCATTGAAGCTCTGACTTATCACTTGTTGCCAAATGAGATAAAAACCCAACGTACAATGCCAAGAAAACCGGTAGGATTTCCAAAAATTCTCTTGGTCATTGGTGGTCAGGCACCAAAAGCCATACGTTCTGTAGAATGTTATGACCTGAGAGAAGAAAAATGGTATCAAGCTGCTGAAATGCCAAATCGTAGATGTCGGTAAGTAAACTATTTACAAAAATAAAAGTATCGTAAATATTCAAAAATGTTATTTTTTCTTCCAGTGCTGGTCTGGCTGTATTGGGCGATAAGGTATATGCCGTAGGCGGCTTCAATGGCTCGCTACGTGTACGAACTGTCGATGTTTATGATCCAACCACCGATCAATGGTCCAATAGTAGCAGCATGGAGGCCAGACGTTCCACTCTTGGTGTTGCTGTTCTAAATGGTTGCATTTATGCTGTGGGTGGTTTTGATGGCACCACCGGTCTGTGCAGTGCAGAAGTTTACGACCCCAAAACGGAGGTGTGGCGTTTCATTGCCTCGATGTCAACTAGACGTAGTTCCGTAGGAGTGGGCGTAGTAAATGGCCTACTGTATGCCGTTGGCGGTTATGATGGTTTCACCCGACAATGCCTATCATCAGTTGAACGTTATAATCCTGAAAATGACACCTGGTATCCTGTTGCCGATATGTCTGCCAGACGTAGTGGTGCCGGTGTTGGTGTCCTCAAGAATATTTTATATGCAGTCGGTGGTCATGATGGTCCAATGGTTAGGAAATCTGTTGAGGCATATGATCCGGAAACAAATCAATGGCATTCCGTTGCTGACATGTCATTTTGTCGCCGCAATGCTGGTGTTGTGGCCCATGATGGCCTCCTCTATGTTGTTGGTGGTGATGATGGGGATTCGAATCTGTCATCGGTTGAGGTTTATAGTCCAGAAACTGATACTTGGAGGATCTTGCCTGCTGCCATGACCATTGGACGCAGTTATGCTGGTGTGTGTATGATAGATAAACCCATGTGAATAGAAGAGCAGGGTGCATTGGTGAGGTGAGTAATATAAAAATGGGGAAATTATTAAAACTTGTTTCTAAATTGATGTCCAATTCCTCCTCTCTGTTTTTAGACAAGCGACTGTAATTGCCATTAATGGACTCGTGGATGATGAGAATAGTCAAGCTGAAGGTACGATCGAGGGTGCAGTGGGTGTTGTACGCCCTGACCAGCAACAACAACAACAGCAACAAGCTAACAATCCTAATCAGCAACAACAACAACAACAAAATGTACATCCTCATTATGAAAACATCTACGAATCCATTGAACACTATAACGCAGCCGCTCGTGGTCTTGGTGCAGAAGCCCTTATTGCACCAATTAATCCAAACAACAACGCCAATGCCCCTGCTGAAGAGTTAATAGTGCCCCCACCAACGCCACAGCAACCCCATCCTCCGGCCACAACCCAAGCTTCCGCCACTGGAAACCCTGACAACAATAATACTCAAAGCAAATCACGCCTGACAACGAGTAACATTAACTACCGTAACGATTTATATGACCGTGCCAATGGCATAAATGGATCGGCAACGACAAATGGAATAGGAGTAGGAGCTGGATCGACAAATTATGACATACCAAGATCTGTGAGATCTGGTCTAGGATTTAGACGCAACTTTCAATTAGATTTACATGCAGGTTTGTTTTACGAAAATGTGTGATGAAAAATTCCATTTTGATAACTTTTGTTATTTCCCTACAGCAAATCCCCGTTTTAATGCTTTTCGTTGCAATGGTGCCACTTGTAGTCACTACAATGCCAGTAACACTACATCGTCTTCATCATCATGCCATCGTCAAAGAAGTTTCGATGATACCGAATCACAAAACTATTACAATCTCAATTATCAGCCGTCGGTACGTTATGAAAATATTTACGAGCAGATACACGATGAACCCATATATCGTAATACAAATAACCCTGGCGGCGGTGGAGCATCGGCTGCCCGAGTTTATGGTCGTCTGAATGTCATTGGACATGGCATAGGACGTATAGAACGTCATCTCAGCTCTTCTTGCGGCAACATTGACCATTATAATCTGGGAGGGCATTATGCCGTTTTGGGTCATTCACATTTTGGTACTGTTGGCCACATTCGCTTAAATACCGGATCAACAACAACGACTAATAGTTCTAGTATTACATCGACAGCTAGCTGTAATGGCAATAGTTGTGGTACCACTGCATCATCATCGGCTGCTGCAGCTGCCCAGAGGGATGCTAATAATGTGAAGAACAGTGCTTCATCGTTTTTCAGCTGCTTGCATGGCGGTGAGAATACCCAAAGCATGAGTAACATCTATAAAGCTTCTGGTAATCCCAGTAACTCGGGAGTGGCCGCTAATTCTGTAGCTGGAGGAAGTAATGCGAATGCAAATTTGCTAACGGGAAATTCTGGAATGTGTGCAAGTGGTAAGTGTAGGAATTTGGGGAGTACGTTCTTATCAAAGAAAAATCATTGATTTCTCAAGTTTTAGATAGCAGATTGGAAGATTAGTTTTATTGAAGTGAATGGCAATCAATTAAAAATTTTAGCTCCATTTGGAACCTTTAAAATATTCATTGTTACACATAAGTCGATAGCTGCTTGATTCGGGCATATTTTGGTCTATTGTATTCATGTTAGGAAGAATAAAGTAGTGGTGGACAGAAACGGAAGACATAGAATAGAAAAAGTAGCAACAGATGGTAGAGATGTATTGATAGTATAGTAGTTTACCTAGCCAGGAGATGCTTTGAGCAAACTTAAAGATGATAATGGAATCTACGTGTAAGAAAAACGTTAGAGGCTTTAACTTCCACCTATCAAATACCGTAAGTCTCCTGTTTGATATCATGGGACATCTGTGTAGTAGGCGTTCAATCATCTCTCTGCCTCTTCTTCACCGTCACATAGTCTAGAGAAGTTAGGACCACTGTTATCCCATTTTGGGGTCAGATATCTGATACTGCAGTGGATAATCAATATGCCTACCGCGATTCTTAGATCAGACCCCCAACTGGATAAAAGGGAGCAGGTTAGAAGCGTTAAAGGTTCTATCTCCAACCTACCAAATAGCCTATGTGTCCTGTTTGATAATAGGCGTCCAATCATTTCTACCTCTTTCTGTCCGATACTGGAGTATGGTTCTATCTAACCTTCTTTTCTGCAGCCGAAGCATTTGAGACGAACTGTTGCATCGTCACCTTGGGTTTCTGCGAATCCTCTTCAAAGCCACTGGCTGAGAGGGGGAATTGGTCGCCTTTGTAGCTGCTCCCTTCGGCGAGATTGTCAACTCGGCAGACAAGGTACTCGTACGTCCGCTCGCTTTAGCCTTCTTTGCAGTTGACTCTGTCCTGTCGTCCTGTTGTTTCACCACCTTTTCAACGGCTGAGCCGGTTTTGAGGGTTTAGTAGGCTTCAATTTCTCCTTTTTTCCGCAGCCTTTTTACTGGATTCTGGATTCTTCAGTAATGATGTCAGAGCTTCTATGTCATAGTTACCACAAAGTCTATATAATAAATTCTAGTTCTAGTGATTCATTATCCGCATTAATAAATTAAATTACATCAATCAAATAAACATTTAAAACATCTCCTCCTCTACATAACAGCCAGTGCCAGCAGTTCGAAAGATCGTGAAAGCCGAGCCGCATCTGCCGGTCCACTAATTAATCCAAATGCCAACAATAACAGTAACGATGCAACAAGCTCCTCATCAACCTTGACATTACGCGCCACCGGAGCAATACCAAAAATAAAAAATCTCAACAGTTCAAATACAGGAGGTAGAAGCTCCAATAGCGGTGAAAAGAATTCCAATGCAACAACTGCAACAGAAAAAACTGTGTCTTCCCTGAAAAATGCTCTAACGAAAAAATCGTCTTCATCATCAAATTCTGCACAAAAAACTTCCGCACAACAATCGTCCTCGCTCTCGACAACGACGAACTCGACATCATCTACCAATCCTACGATGACGGAGCAAAATGGCTCATTAAATCGTATTTCAAAATCCAGCTTACAATGGCTTTTGGTCAACAAATGGTTACCGCTGTGGATGGGTCAAGGAGCGGCCGATTGTAAGGTGATTGATTTTAATTTTATGTTCTCCCGAGACTGTGTCGATTGTGATGCAGCCTCGGCTGCTGCGCAAATGTCTGCCTATGGAACACCACGTTTATCGGGATTGCCACAGGATATTGTACGTTTCAATGCCAGGGCAGAAATGCACTCTTCTTCAACGGCCGGCATGAATGCCCCCTATAGGAGACTTCAAGATGGTCGCCCTCTGCACAGTACTTTAAATCGTCTACGAGAAGCTGATAATTATGGTACAAATGCCACCGCAAGGCGTTATGAAGATCCCTCCTATGAAAATGTCCATGTTCAATGGCAAAATGGTTTTGAATTTGGCCGATCTAGAGACTATGATCATTCATTGGCCGCACAACCATATCAGTCACCAGTTACAAATCGTGCCCCTCTGCAAAGGGCCAGATCCGAAAGTCCCACATTAAGCGGTCAACGTAATAATACTCAAACACGTCGTTTACGATCTAATACAGCCACACATAAAACCGCCAGCAGAGAAAAATTCAAGGATCCATTTCGCAACTATGAACTGAATTCGGAAAATAATACATTTAAACCCAAATTGGCCAAAGCTGAAACACTTGATGTAGTTGGTGCTGCCGGCGATAATCAACCAAGCACCTCAACTTCAGCCATAAAGCCAAGTCCAGCAACAGTTAGTTCAAACGCACAACAGCTGCCACCACCACCGACAGATGGCACAGCCTCAATTGCACCCGTCTCAGCAGCCATTGAAGATATGGAAGGGGCAGTTGGGGGCATTGAATGTCCAAATCTTCCCAATATTGAAGTCAACAACGTTATTGAGATTGCCGCTGCTGTTGGTACAAGTGATAACGACAATATGCCATTATCAATGGCCAACAATAAAATAAACTCGCCAAATACTGCAACAAATAGTGAACAAAAGGATTAGATATTTTTCGTATTAGAATTTATTTCTTCTTCTTCATATTGTGATAGTGATTAAATCCGTATAGCTGCCACTGCAATAATTGGGTGTTTTGTTTAACAAAAATCAATGTCCAATGGTGTTTTTTTGAATTAATGATTTAGAGAATGTGAATTGCAAAAAGGAATGTTCGAAACAAATTTTAGGAAATATTTTGGATAGATTAAATATTAATTTAATTTGGACTTTCCACCAAATCGGTTAGAGGCATCAAACAGAATATTCAAATTTAATAAAACTGAGCTGTGCCTTATTCCAGCGCATTATTCCAGCTCAATATAAATATATTGAATCCCTTGTTAATGGGTAATAATTCCAAATACTTTGGGGGTATCCACTATTGCGCGCTATACCTTAAATGAATTGGGAGGTATACCAAAACTAAAACCTCAAATTACAGGCATATTTATTGGAAACTGTAGCAGGGAGACTGCAAGACAAACGACAGTTTTTGGAAGGAGGATATCAATCAGCCGATAATTTATAATTCCAAAACTGGACTAAATCAATTGAAAATTTTTTAAAACCTCTTTTTTTTAGATCACGAGATTTGACCTATTTTCAATAATCAAATTTCGATCTCTGGTTCTATATGGGTTACAAATTTTTTGCAATAATTCATAACCCAAAACTGCATCAGACATATTTATTGGAAAAATTCTTAACCCATGCCGGGCAATCGCTTTTGTTTTGCAGCAGAAAATCTAAATTGTCAAATCTAAGCTAAATAAATTGGAACATTTTTTTAAAAAATCTCGAGATTTGAACAGCTTTCGACTTTTTTTTTTCGAAATTTCGACTCTATAATGCCAAATCTAAATAAATTGGAACATCGAGAATCGGAATCTCGTGATTTGAACAGTTTTTAACAATCAATATTCGACTTTCTATTTCGAGAAGTGTATAAGGAGTCTATGAGGTGAAATATGGAAAATATAAAGGCAATTTAAGTCCCCGTATTATACCTTCATTGCTGCAGTTCTAGGGTCTGTTTCTCCATGACGATATAAAAATGAACTCGATTAAAAAACACTAATTCTAGGACTATTTTTATACAGGCTATATATGGTTTATATTATCTGATAAGACAAAAACGTGCCACATCGGATCCTGGGACCAAATCCGTTTCAGGCATTTGAAGTCGATCTAGGTGTGTCCGTCCGTCTGTCTGGCTGGATGATGCGTTCAATAACTCCCGAAAGAAGTATCCGATTTGGTCCAAAATTATTACATTGTAATATTCTTATCGAACTTAGATCGAGTTCAGAGATGGAAAATATCGGTCCTTCACTCCTTCTGGTAGCTCCCCCACAAAAGGCGAAAAATCATCCAATTTTGTGCAATCTTTGCAATTCCTAATATTTTTATCAGTTCCAGGTTAGGTGTGAAAATAGACAATATCGGTCCACTGCACCTCTCCCATAACTCATAAAACGTTAAATAAGAGACCGATTTTTCGAACGTATGAAAAAAACACACTTGGAATAATTTTAAATTTCGTCATTTCACAAAGTAATTCTAAATCTCACATCTCATTTTTGTTTTTTAAATTTTTGCCAAAATTAATCTGAAAAAAAAAAAAAAACATTTTTGGACTTGAAACAATGGTTATCATGTGGCACAAAACCAAACATAAATATTATTTTATTTTTTTTAAATCGAGTAATGTAATTTCCTAAATTAGCTACAACAACTCCCAGTACTTTCGCAAAAGCACAATTTTATTTTGAATAAAACAAATTCTATTGTATTAATAAAGAAAAAACAACTGACCAAATTTATGGATTATTTTTTTCCTTTAAACATTGTAATAATTTACACAACGACTAACCAGATCCTAAAAAAACACGAGAAACAAGGATAATAACACAAAGCTCACTTATTACATGTTAAATTGTATCGAAGTCTTCTCGAAGCAAAATTGAAATGTCTCTCAAAATGAACTACAAAGGAACACACCTTGGACTAGATTTTTATCCTGGTAATGTAAAAATAATAAAAATATAACAAACCTTACTGAAAATGTATCAAGAAAAACGATTAAAATAAAAGTATTTTAAAGACATTTAAATAAGATTGGACATCTCTCCCCTCTTAACGAAAAAAAAAACGAAACGAAATTTTATAAAATGTACATTTAATTTGTTTCTAATACAAAAAAGCTGAATTTATTTCCTATATATATTTATTTCCTATATATATTTACTATATATTTAACCAACAACAATTATGTATTGTGTACTGTACTTTTTTCGAATAGATTTACAATTATCGCCGTATTTCGTTTTTTACAAATATTTACCAAACGTTTTATATGTTCATTCAACCAACCAACACACACATATGAATTTGTTTTGTTTAGTACTCTTTGTTTCTAAGTGTTAAGTCAAAAATTCAAAATCATGTAGACTTTTTTTAAAAAACATACCATTATCGAGATCTAGAAAGTATTTATCATTAGCTAATTATTGCCAAGTTATTTGCAGATTTCTATATACTTTTCATTCTTTACTTTTTGTATGTACTATCATTTTCAAAAAAAGACATTTTTTTCTCTCATTGTCATTTTGTAACATATATATTTTGTTAATATCACAAACGTATCTAAGTGAAGAGCGTGCTCTTCGAATATAATTGGTAAAATTACACATATTCATTAGATGAAAAAAAGTATTTAATCGAATAAAAAATATATATCACATAGAATATACTGTGTTTGATTCATGGTACAATGAAGAGAAGGTAGGTCAACTTTGAAAAAATTGCAAGTATAGAGGTCTACCTGTTTGGCTTGTAATGTCAGAAATAGTATCAAAACAATAACAAAATCAAACAACTTGTTGCATTTATTTTGAATAAATAATTGAAAACCGCGAAAACTGAATGAAAGGTCAACACTTCTTTTCAAAACCAGGTTCTATATATCTCTAAACGATTATTTCGCTACAAAAACTCTAGATTTTGTCGATGCATACGTTGAAATAAACATTTTGAAAACACCCGAATTTGAATGTTTTCTGAACAATTTATTTGTTATTGAAAAGAAAACACATACATAAACAAATAAAGATGACATATTAAGCCAAGAAAATAAAAAAATTGAAATCATATGGTATCATATCATATCATTGTACCATGGTTTGATTTCTAATTCCCCATTGGTCTTTAAATAAAGTAGTAGGCGATCTCCAATTTTTTTCACAATTTCGGTAAGTGTTCACAAAAAATGTCAAGGGAAGGGAAATACCAACAGCATTAAAACGCAAAATTCTAAATGTTTGTTAAGTCGGACGAAAAATATCCTTATTACCCCATGAAACAAAAAAATAGTAAAGGATGAAAGTAGTATTAATAATGGAAGACACATATATCAGTGTTTTTATGGGTTACATCACAAATAACCTTTTTACGGAGACAAGATCTATCCCCTTCCACATTTTTCTCTCCGCCATGAAGTAAATAAACCCTTTAAAAATAAAAGTATGGGGATTTAATAATCGATCGAGTTCGAGATTAGAATAAAAGTCTTCAAAATAACAAAGTACCGTAAGGTACCGTAATATGGGGGCTGAACCAAAACGAGAAACTACATTGGAAACTTCCTTCTAAGAAGTTTTTAACTATTCCGAGATTCAAATATCGAATTTCAAACAATTTTGTGGAAAAATATGCCCACAATTTGATATTCGGTACTAAATTTTGTATTGGGTAAAGAGTAGAGCAGAAATTCTGAAATTTGATAGTGAGGTCACTGTTGATTTCTAGGCTTTACATGTGGAGACTTTTCTTCGGTAAAACTCAACGTATGAAAATTTAACACCAAGTGAGAAGTTTTATTTTAAAGTAAAGAAAAGTCAAAAATCGGGTGGGTCAACTATATGATAACCCATGCCAATATGCATATTTAGTAGGGCTCCCTCGATTTGAAGCATTTTTTATGTTTTTGTCATATTTTCTATTTAAAACCTGAAATCAAAACGTTTACACGTCTTATTTTTGTTACATAAAATATAAAGCAAGAAATTGTGGAAAGTCTTACGAATGACTTAAAAATATTCTCCTATTACATCTAATGGAATTCAATGAAATGTTTAAGCTCCATTTTGGTAACATGACTTATCTGCTACGATATTCAGAATACATAAGTCCTTCGGGTTTTAGGATTTCCTCAGCCGTATATTACCAATTTGGAAAAATTTGTCGTAGCTGCAGATTCTTTACCCCCAAGATTCTTAAAATTAAGGTTATTTGGGGAAATATTTAAAAATGTGTATTGCTCTTACCTGTACCTTCCATATATTCCATATACCAATCGCCATTCTACACTTTTATTGCTACTGCTTTTATGGGTCTACTTTTGACCATAGCAAATACTATTGTGCTTCATCCGCTTAAAGATTATATTTTAATTTTATGGTAAATTTGAAAAATTAATAAAACGCTTTTCTGAACCTTATTTTTTATCTACACCAATTCACAGAGAACTGATAACATATATGTTAGTTTTTTTGGTTTTATGTCACTTAAAGGGAAGTACACATTACCAGTTTCGTCATTGGTGTTTTCCTAAGAAGAACCATTCTTGTTCTATTAACATACGAAATTAAGTGTATTTTATAAAATTTTGCAATTAGCATTTCTTTTCTTTATGAACGATATTTGGGGCCCAAGAAGGAGTGTAATCATATGTAAGCCACACATGATACAACTGGTTGTACAACTTGGAGAAGTTGTGCTTCGGTTGTACAAAAATTCATTTTTTTTTTATATTTAGCATGTTGTACCAACCGATTGTAACGTTTGTGGGCCTGACGCATAAAATTTCATTTTGTGTTTATTTTTGAAGAGGCAACACCATTGTTTTGCACATCAAAACAATACGAAATCCAATCAAATATGTGATTTTAATGTATCTATAAAATGGAATTTTAATTTATAAAATGGAATTTCAAGCATTAATAATAAATAAAAGCTGTAAAGTCAATTATACATGCATGTTTTTCGGTGTCATTTTAACTCAAATAAACTCTACAAAAAGTGAAATTGTACAAAGAGCATATTTTAATTCAGTCTGTTTTGATATCGAACTATTCGTGGTCGGTGTTTACTATTTTTCGATGTCCTGGAACATCACGCTTATTTTACAAACGCACATCCAACATGAATGATAATATAGCCGCTGTAAATAATCCGACAAATTTGAATCAAACGATTTTGATGAAACTGCCATTTAAAACCGATATTGTGTACCCCGCTTAAGAGTATGTCATTAGATACGATATTCGATTGTATAAACTACCAATTAATCGATAGTAGAATCGATACTCTGCCAAACAGGCAAATGAAGTTTTCAGTTCAGATAATTTTGTGAATACGGGTGAGTTGGACGTGGAATTTTTTGGTAAACTCGGAACAAAGAAAAGAAAAATAAGCTAATATACATTTTGCTTATATATATGGAAAACTGGAAAGAAAAATATAAATACTGAACTGTTAATTTTGTTTGTTGTAACATAATACATAACAAAATATCGAAATGCAAGTCTTTTTATTGTTAGATTTTGAGTGTGCTTAGAAAGAATAGCACTAAGTTGAAAAGAAAAAATATGGATAAAGAATTAAGAAAAAAGCTGACTAATTTAGGCCATTTTGAAATGACTGTCCCTGAGAAAAACAAATAAGTCATATTGTGAAATATTTCACTCAAATCGAAAAGAAAAATTAATTACGAGTTATTGATTTCATCGTTGGATTAGTGTGCTGCTGTACTTTTATGGTAATATGGTGAAATTGCGTTGTATATAATTTTTTCCTGGTATACATAAAAATAAAATGGCGTCGGTACAACGGGGCGTTGACAAAAAGGTGTATAAAAATTGTAATAGATTCCGTTTTAATGTATTGGTATGGTTCTTAGCTAAGCTAAAAACCTTATTGCTGAGTTGTGTTTGGTATCGGTATGTGTTGTTATCGATTTATGCTCTGTTTCAATAGCACACACAAGGGGTCTTCACATCAATTAATCGTTTGTTCAATTGTGAGGGAAAATGTTTGTAAACACATTTAAAACAAACATCTTCAGCCATGGCTGTCTTATTTAATGATTACATATCTGTCAAAATCCAAATGTCATAGAAATCGACTATTATCGATAATTATTAAGTTTAATTTGAATTATATTCCTAAGGTCAGAATAAATAAACGCTTTTTTGACTGGCTTAAGTCATATGCTGGCTACTTCGTAGAGGAACAAAGAAGTTTTAGGTTGACTCAGTTCAATTTTGACCCTAGGCTCTTTTGTTTTTTTTTTTCAGCCAGTCAAAAAAAGCTTGTAATGTATTCTCTACATTTTGTATTATTTATCTTTCGCCAAAAAAGCAGTCGAAATCTAATTGTATTATTGATAACGAAGTTATAGTACGTTTAAATGGAAACTATATTCTGAAGGTGAGAATATATAAAACGCTTTTTTGACTTTTCGATGACTTGGCTGGCTTCTTCGTAAGGGAAGAAAGGAGTTTTAAGTTGACTTTGTTCGATTTTGGCCCTACAGTTCCTTATTCTTTTCCGAAGAAGCCTGCCGATGACTTAAGGCAGTCAAAAAGTGTTATGTGCTCTCTTCTTTACATTTTTATTATTTATCATTCGTCAAGAAATTCTCTAGTTTTAATTTTGTAATCAAGATTTTTTTCTTTTGACTATTTAAGAATAGTTTAAATTTGTTGTTTTTCCAGAACTGTAAGAATATAAACGTTTTTAAAACAATAACCTATTTTTCCTTCATGATATCGAAAAAAACTCCAAAACTAGTAGATTCGTACAGGTAGTGGGACCGAGTAAAAGATATTAAACGTTTTATAACAATAACAGATCTTTCTTTTATGATATATATTTTATATATCGTACAAAATCAGAAAACTTGTAAGTTCTTGTGGGATTTAGAACAGAGCAAATGTTCAACTTCGGTGTTTCCTCACGGAAGTGCCAATGTTCAATATATATTTTATGATTATATTCGTTTTATAAATGTTGCCAGAGATTCCAAGATTTCTAACTTGGCGGACTCCCTTTATAGGTCAAATGAAAAATATAAAGAAAATCTTTTTATTCCAAAATTTCATAGAACACAAATCTATGATATCGAAAAAATTGGAACAGAGTAACTGTAAAAATGTTGACTACGATAAGCGATTTTCCCTTTGTGATATTGGAAAAATTTGAAAAATAGTAGATTCTTGCAGATTCCGAAACAAAACAAATGCGAAGTATATCTTTAAAAAATTAAATCTTTGACGTATCCTTGTCAAAATGCATATTCATAAATGCATTCTATATATAATAAATAATAATGGCCAAAGTTTAAAGCGCGTGTTAAGCCATTTTACGCGTTAAATAATACCGATAATAACTACACCGAGAGGGTCAATATCGATAAATCAGTCTTCTTCCGGTTTTATCGATAACATTTTATATTAAGTGGCAATCAGTTGCTTTTTTTAGGACAGGAAAATTGTCTTAATTACCCTATTCATGAATATCTGCACCTGTCAATTTATCTGTCAAATAAAGAAAAGAGGTTAAACTGTAATAAACCCCTACTATAACATGAACAGTAAATCAAGGGAATGCAAAAATACGCGATAGAGTCTTCCACGGTCATATAAACTACTTCAACACTTCTGCTTTATGTAAAACTTTTTACTATGAAAAAATATTTTTCCTATACGATATCGAAGAAAATTGCAAATTTAGTAGATTCTTGCCGGTCTGGAAAATTTGGCCGGTAGTTTTTGCAACTACTGCTTTATTAGTGGATACATTGAAAATGTTTTAGAGAATGCGTTTCTAAAAACAAAAGAAATATATCAAATTATAGTATGTGCCACATTTAATTTTACATGCAAGTGTTTAAAATTTACTTTCAAAGCCACAACTCAATTTTTCAATATTTATATACATATATATTTTTAATCACAAATTAAAATAATTTAAACACTATGTTATCGAAATTTTGTTTTTGAAACTTTTCAGAAAAAGGCAATGTTTTTTTTTTGACGTTTAAGATAAATTTAGTTTCGCAGTGTCGCATGTATAAATTACATTTACAAATCGATCAAACAATATTGTCCGATTACCATGCTAACACAACTGACAACTTATCGAAAAATGTTATAATCAATTTTCGATATACTTCGTTTGCTGGGATAGGGACTCGATGCACTTCTAACATTACATTGATATGTAACACCCTGTTAGCCAGCATAATCTACTACAAATGTAGACATGTGTTTACATTTGCCGTACAGCACCAACGCGTTTAGTTATTAAGAGAATTCGAGGGAGACTGCACGTAGCGTGCTTCAATATTTATTCCTTCCCGCATTTAAATCAAGTCAGCAGAATTTAGTTTTATTATCTTTGTTGTAAATTTTAAATAAAGCTAGGTAATACATTTGTTGTTGTTTTTCGTAAATAAAGCAAAAAATTGAATAACAGCAAAGGGGAAAGATTTCATTTCTTTCTTTCCTTTTGTTTGAAGTGTGTTTTTCTTTTCTCTGCACTGATGAAGTTAAAAATGTGTACAGAGAATTTTTTGCTAGTTTTGCAAATTATTAATTGTAAAATTGTTTTTATTGTAGATTATTAATAGAAAAGAGAAACAAGAAAATTACAAATCAATGGATTAGTGGAATAAATAAAAAGACAATTACGTAATCACGAAGATATATTTTCACAAAAAAAGGAAAGAAAAAACAAACGGTAACTACGCAAAAGAATTGTGTTAAGTCTAATTGAAAACAAGAGAGAAAACAAATGACGTAAAACGTAATAAACCCCCCAGAGAGGCAAGCAAAGCAAAAGAAACCCATTTGTATACCCCGATTGCGGATACACACAAATACCAGTTTTGCAGTTAATTGTTGAGGGAGAATTACCAGAAAATATCAAGAAAATGGTGAGTTTTTGGTTAAAAAAAATAATTGACTAACAAAATGCCAATAAATAATTATTGAATAGAAAATGTGTTTTATTCTTTCCAATTATGATGTTTAATTGACATTTAATTTTTTCAATGCTTTTTTGTTATTGTTTTTTTTAGCCACGTATAGTGCCAATACAGTTATTGAAATGCCTTAAGGTATTATTAGATGATAATGGCGGCATATTGAGCGCCGGAGAAGTCAAAAGATTAGCTAGGTAGGCATAAATAAAAAATGTTTTATTCCCCCCACCAAGTGTTTTACTGGTTGGCTTCGCACGTATTTTATTTAGATTACCACCTCGTGTATTGTTATCTCTGTTTTGTTAGTGTGTGCAGCCGGCCATTATTACACTTTTAATCTATTACAATAACAGTGTTGTATTTTTTGACTGATTGAATGTTTTCCTATTTCCTCTACATTTTTTTCACTTACAGTTTGATGACCAAATATTCCAAAAAATTGGTTTCCAAATGCATTTATGTGCAAATTCTAAAATGTACCAAAACCGAATTGCTGGGAGAGTTTATGGGCGCCGGTGGCTGGTCTTTGGTATATACCTGGTTAAATGACGCCATTCGTGCCATGAATTGGCCGCTGGTCCAAGAGATATTGGAATTGCTGTTACTGTGTCCTGTGGATGTCAATCGCCTCAAGATTAACTCGGCCCCAAAACTTGTAAAGGGTCTTTGCAAGGATGGCGGTAATGAAGGTAAGAAGCATGAATATCGTAAAAAAGAAATTGCAATGTTTTACATTTTTAAATATTCAGAACACACTGCAACGATTAATTTAATTGAGACCACTTTAATAATTATACATTCCATACCACTTAGAAAAATCGAGGGAATGGGTTAGATAACTTCTGTTGGAATTGTCCATGGTTAAAAACTACTGGGAAGTACTGAAAAGACCCCGAAAAACAAATGGAGATTTATTTACATTTATATATAAAGAAGAGGCTGACTGAATGCTGAGACAGAGATTTGAAATGCTTTGTTACGAGGGGCGATATATGCAAGAATGTATAGAAATTGCATTTCAGAATGTTTCGAAATTTTGTATAGCATTCCATCTATTGATATTGGGCAAAGGAAAAGCTCTGTTAGAAATATTAATTAATGAGCATACTTTTGGGCTGAAAATGACTCTAGATTTTTAAGATTAAACATAGGTTTTGTTCAGATAAAAATGGATTAGGCAAGATCGTCCGAGTCTCGACTTGATAATACCTACCTTGTAATGGGTGTATATGTTTCTTATTGTAAGGAATTTTATTGAGGATGATGACTGATGTTGAAAAACTTTGTTTTATTGCATACTTTTGTCTTATATGGTTTCGTTTCATGCTCAATATTTGAGGGCCCCTGTTGTCAGTATTTCATAGCATACAATCTCGGCTTTTATATATAATTTTAACATAAAAAATCCACATAATTAAAGTAACATTTTATCCTATCTTTTGCATTTTGAGAAATGCACTGTGAATTTTACATAAAATTCCTATTAATTCTTCATTTTATCAGCCATGTTACATCGCTAGAAAGAGATTTTAAGCATATAGTCTGTCCTCATATGTCTAAGGTTAACAAATATCATAATACCAGATCCAGACCACATGAAATATGTTTTAAAACCAAGAAAGCTAATTCATATCCCAAGAATATTTAAAATATGTTGGCCATATTTAACTTTTTGAAAACATATCCTCTTTTTAATGTTAAAAACATTTCTTGGAAAAAATGCACTTCAAAGAATTCATGCCTGTAATTTGTCACGTGATCCACAATTTAAAACGCATTTTATTGGGAATTCCCAAAAAATGTCAATGCGTACCTAAACAACCCTGATTATCTATGTTTGAAAGTATGCGTGTCTGTGGAGACTGTACTAACAACAACCGTAGTTTTGACTAGGTGCCACTAATCTCCTTTCCATGTTTGTGGCCTTATCAGCACTACATGTGTTTGTTATTAGTGTCTCTTTAATGAAATATCTCAAACATGCTCGACATTACATTATTAAGGTGGTATATTGACAAATGAATTAGCCAACATCTGATATTTAACCAATCGTTATACGTTTCCAACTGCTGCTGATCTAGGTGATTTGTGATACCTACACCATCCTGACCATATTGAAAGAAACACAAATAATTCCTTACCTAGCACCCCTCGGTTGGGCAGAATATAGGTACTACCTTATAAAGGTGTTGAGATTGAAAACAGCTGCTGCTGCTTTTTACAAATATATTGGGCAGGTAGTTTTTTTCTGGGTATTTACGGCTCTTCAAAAGAGAAATAGATAGCCGTTTGTTGTTCTCTTCCCATATATAGTAATAAACACATGACTCAATGTGAATATTCAACATTTTGACTTTGGTGTGTTAGTACCCATTCACAACCATTCACATTTTATTGTCTCTCGTTGTGTCATTGAGAGAAGTGCTTTTAAATAAAATATTTCTATACTAACTTGTTTTGTGTGCGCCATACATTTTAAGTGCAAATAAAAACATAATATAAAAACTTGATAAGAATACAAAAAGTGTGAAGGTGTAATAGTTTACAATAGAAGAAGGTCGGTTTCGATTTTCCCCATTTCAAATTTGATAATTAACACACGTACATAGAATTTTTTTTATTATTTATTAATATTTTTATTATGTAACATAAAAATAGTGTCGAGTATCTCCCCCGCTTATTTTGTTGACTCAAGCTCTCAAGTTATAAAAAAAGCTACAAGTCATTTCATGTGGATCTTCAAAATGGATTTACGAAAGCATTTCTGTGTACATCTGTGAAAATGAAGTTTAAATTATGATCCTCTAAATCAAATGTATTTATGATTTACAAACTATTCCAAAACAATACATCTATATATGATAATCACTCGGATGCGCAATTTATATTTAGGCAAATGCGCTAGCCCTTTCAATGTGTCAACATACCTAAATATGACTCCCTTTCAACGAGTTTTTACTCCTTTCAAGGAAATTTTTAATATATATTCAATATAAAATTTATTATTTTCTCAATATAACACTATAGTAAAGACTAAGTATAATACTGTTTGAAACGTAAATGATTGTTGTCATTGCGATTTTTTTCAATAATTTATACGAAACATATAATATTGTCTACCCAGAATCCTTACTAATTTAAGCTGTTTATTTCATTATTCTAGGCGTACGCATACTAGCTAAACGTTTAGTGGAACAGTGGCTTAAAGTTGTCACAGAAAATCCCGAAGCTACATTACCCAATACGATCACAACACCACCAGCTGTAACATCAACGCCAACAGTTAACAATATGACACCACAAGCAACAGCAGCAGCAGTTGTTAAATCACCACCTGTTGCAGTTGTTGCACCCATGGTAACTCCTGTTAACATAACACAACAAACAGTGGCATCGACAATAGTCCAGGCAAACAGCTTTAATGCAGCACAACAACAACAAAATATGAAGGCAGGAATTACAGCAAGACAGCCACAAAATGCTGCCAAAACAAAATCTAAAATAATTCCAAAACAGGAACCTCAAAATGAAGATGAGGAGGAGGAGGAAGAAGAAGAGGAACACGACGAAGATGCCGAAGAAGAAGATGAATGCCATGAGGAGGAAGATGAAGAAAAAGATCCCTTGGGTGATGTTGCAGAACCCATATCAAACACATCCTATAGTCTAACTCCTGCCCAGAAAAAAGCCACAGAATCTGGTTTGGTCTATAAGATTGTTGTGAAAAATGGCAATCAATTCTTGGCCAAAGTTCCCAAAAACAGTAATGACGAAACAGTAGTCAAGACAGAAACACCATCAAGTGACAAAGAAGAAGAAGAAGAGGAAATAGACGAAGAAGATGACATCAATGATGAGGTGCCAGAAGAGAATGAAGCAGAGGATGAAGAGTCTGTGGAAGATACCACTGATGCGGCTGTGGATGACACTAAACCCAATGAAATTGAGGAAACTGATGACAACAGCTCCTCTTTGGATAAACCAGAAAAAGAGAATGACAGCAACAGTGGTAATGAGGATGATGCAAAGGTGAAAAACAAATCCGAGGACATAAAGAAATCCGAGGACAAAAAATCTGATGAATCCGATAAATCTATGAGTAAAGAAGGTAAAAGTTCCAAGGACAAAGATAGACGTAGTAGCAGCAGCAATGAAAGAGAAAAGGACAAGGAAAGCAGCAAATCCTCAAAAAGCTCCTCTTCCAGCCACAGATCTTCGTCGTCTTCCAGCCACAAATCTTCATCGAAAAGTAGTTCTTCATCATCCAGCAAATCCAAATCATCATCGTCGTCCTCATCCTCATCACATCGCAGTTCAAGTGATAAACATAAAAGCGATAAGGAACGCTCTAGTTCCAGCAAAGACAAAGAACGTAGCAGTTCTAGTTCCAGTTCTAGCAAACACAGATCCTCGTCATCAAAGTCCAGTTCATCTTCTAGTTCCAAAGATAAATACCGTGATAAGGAAAAGTCATCATCATCGTCCTCGTCATCATCTTCATCAAAGAACAAAGATAAGGATCGTGATTATGAAAAGGACAAAAACAATTTTTCGTCATCGTCTTCTTCATCTTCATCTGGAGATAAATTAGCGAAACTAAGTAAAAAATCCAAGGATGACACAACATCTTCATCCACTGCTGCTAACAATGATGACTCCAACAAGCCCACATCAATAACAATCCCCTCCAAAAAGGCATCGATGTCAATTGAAATTCGTAAAGATGCCGAAAAGTCTAAGACCGTAAAAACCTACAAATCTCAATTCCGTTCCCATGGTTTGACTGAAGAAGCTCCACCACCACCGTCGCGCAAAGGCCTTAAGAAACCCTCCTCTAGTGCTGTGACACCGGTTTTGGGCGGCTCCATATTACCCACATCTCTGCCCTCTTCCCTGAAAAGATCCTCGCCTCCACCGCGTGACTCACCCACAGAGAAGAAACCTAAAATAGATATGAACAGTGTACCCTCTGCCAGCGAAAAGCCTGGAGCCATTAAACTTATACCCCCTAAGAAGAGTAAGTATTTGACTTGTAGAACCCCTACTAATTTTGGTTTTTCTCATCTATTTTCAGAGAAAACAATGGCAATTCATTGTGTGGGGCTTTTGCAATTAAGTATAACTTTTTTGTTTTTTATTTGGTTTTTTTATTTAATTGTTTACTCCCAAACGAACGTATTTTTAACCCTCTACATTTTGAGAAAAAGAAATTGTGTGTGGTTATACGAAAATTTAAACAAAAGTGTATGCTGCTGCCGTTGCGTTGCTGGTAATATAAAACATGTGATAGCTATACTCCTCCCAGTGTCATACGTCAACATGCAACCACTCCACACCAATGTTTGATGACTCATACCGTTTGTTGTTGGCTGCCTGTGAAGATGGCTGGCTGACTGACTGGCTGGCTGGCTGGCTGAACAATGGATGAGAAGAGCTGTGTTAACAGAGAGAAAGAGGGAGGAAAGCAAATCATCATTGGCCTCACTTTTTATGTTGTTGTTGTTGATGATGATGATGTTTACTATGATTTTTTTTTTTGAACAGCAACGTTTCGGTTATTTTACGTTATATTCTAGTGTGGTGAATGTGATTTTGATCTCGCTCTTTTTTTTTCAAAACATTAATGGCTTTATTACACACCGTGTATGCGGAAATTCGAAAGAAAGAGAAAATTTTTGAGAGAGAATATTCTCGAAAGAGAACAACGTTTATAATGAAAAGTGTAGTGTTGGAAAACGTTGCTGTTTGCATGAGTAAAACAATTTTATTTGGCAAATATGTTGAGGTTATGTCAAGGCAGGAATGGTTTCTGTAGGAGGGTTTTATGCACTTTTTAGGATCGGATATTATTTAGTGATACTGAATCGATGTTTTTTTATGCCGAAAACTTATTATCGGTTGTCTATCGACTTAAAGAAGGGGGTTCCCTTTCACTTTAGAAATCTATAACTGAAGTCTTTAAAAAAAGTACCTTCTTACAAAGTAATTTTCATTTGGAATGATTCATACAAACACCAAGATGTTGATTTTAGGATACATATGTAAAGGCCCTGAATTATAACTTATTTCAATCGAAATCTTTGCGGCTTCCATTATAAATTTCTACTAGAGGGCATTATTTTTCTATACACTCAAAAGAATGAACTTGTCATTTGTAATAAAAACTGCCCTATTGGCTAAGTAATCTTTCGTTCATTCATTGATATGAACCAATCATTTTCATTGAGGTTGGGAACGTTCAAGAGCTAACATTTGTTTTTCCTATTTGAATCAATATGAATTTTCATACGTCCCATTGCGTCCCAAAAAAGCCTAATGGCGAATTACCAAGACGAGACGTTTAGTACTAAAACAGCCTGATGTTGTGTGAGACATCGCTTTTTCTCAATTTTCTTTTCGATGGTTGTCTTCTACTCCAGGCCTTGTACGGTGGCCATATGACAACTAAACTCTTTCTAAATAGGAAACAAAACATTTCTTCTAGTATCTGAAAGAAGACAACCAAGCCAAACTTGATGGAATAGTGACGACTTTTCTTTTGCGTATTATTCTTAGACTTCTAGTTTCTGAAAGAATACAACCAACCCAAACTTAAAGGAATAGTATCGACCTTTCTTAAGTAATGTAGTCATTCATTCATTGATTTGAAGCAATACCCATTTCTATACGTCCATCCCACTTTTCCAGTGCACTTTTCCATTAGGGAATGTACCCAGTGGTTGCACTAGATAAACATAATACCCATTGCGTGCTAAAAGGACTTCCAATGGCGATCCGATGATCAATATATTCGACATGTTGAGTACTAAAATACGCTGTTTATTAAATGCTGTAAGATATCGCGTTTGCTTATTTTTTTTTCGATGATTGTGTTCCATCTTGACACCTATAGAACCGTTTCTTTTTGGAAAGTTCTTCTGGTTTTCAAAAAATTTGAGTATTATTCTGAGGAAACAAAAGATTCTAAGAAAGCGAAATTCGCAAGTTCATCTAGTCTATGAAAGAAGAAACCTCAAATTTAAAGGATTGGTGACGACCTTTAATTTGACTATTATTCTGGAGAAACGGAAATTGCAGTAAGACACTAGAACTGTGTTTTAACGAGTTTCTCTCGAACTCATTTCTTTCTCCGAAATAATGCACAATCCGTTTAAACATTTACATTGGAAAATCAAATTGACATGACTTCTACCATAAGAAAGAAATTGTCATTTTTAGGCACGGAGGTAATGAATTAAGGGATCAGAAATATTTGTGGGTTCAGTAGTGAATATCTCTATTTATTTACCCTTATGGCAAAAATCGGTTTCATACAAGTGATACCTTTAATTTACCGAAAAATTTTGTGAGTTGACAACATTAAAAGCAATTTGTTATTAATTTTAAAAACATATTTTTGCTACCAAAATTCCTCAGTAACATACACTCTTGATAAAGGTGAAAAACTCCAACAAAATGTCGGGAGGAAAATGAAATAAATCTTCGTTTTATTGTTATTAAATAAAAAACGGACCAAAACATATGTAAATATTGTTGTTGGCTAGTTAGATAATCGCATTGCAGGAGAAAATCGGAAATATCTCGTGTTTGTATTGATTTCGACAACCTGCGAAAAACGTCAGCAGCTCTTCCTATGACATCAACGAGGTTAGATACAAGATTAATAATTTTTAACAAAAAAAAAAAAAAAAAAAAAAAAACATATCTTCCTCTCCTACTCCGTGAGATGAAAAAAAAATATGTAAATGGCAACGACATTTCCAACATTACCATCCAAATCCACCACTTCCGTTCTTAAAAAAGAACTTATAAAACGTCACAAAAAATGAGCAACGCGTGCGTAAACAATAATGGTGATCGCGGTGAACTTGTTTAACCCCCAAAAAAAGGGGTTACTTAACGGGTGATGTATGGCAATGCAAACTATATGTGATAAGTATACAATATGATATATTTTATTTTTATTTACACCTAGATTTAAACTTACTATAATTGAAAAAAAGAAACTGCAATAATAAAAAATTTACTTATTGCAATCAATAAAATACATACAAACAAAAAAAAATACAAAAATCAACCAATGAATAGTCCTTGAAGTTTGGTAGTAGTCGATGTAGTAATGAGCAATTTCTGGCTATAAGATTGATTTGTTACACACACACTGACTGCTTCACTTGACTTGTACGTTCAAGGGCATGAGAGCTAGAGGCGACAATTGTGATATGTTTTAGATGATGATGATGATGATGTAGTAGAGTGAGAAACTAGGTGATGGAAATATCTTGGTTAATATATTTCTAAGTTGAATCCAGGAAACATTTTGACCTGCATTTTCATAATAGAATGCCTATTTTTGAAGACATACGATGAATGATTAAAATGTATGTCCCCTGAAAGGATTTCAATTTCTTTTTAATCTAATTACTGATGAGTAGTATGAGGAAGTATTTGAATTGAGCTTATCTGCCAAATGCATTGATTTTTATTTTCATATTTCCACTCTTCAGATTTTCTTGTCAATCTTAAAGGTTCAATTCGTTTTATTATGAATGTCGTTTTTGACTGCTCCAAGTAAAAGAACCGCAAATTTAATATTGGTAAAAAATACCACTCAAATGATCGTGTTAGACCTGTCAAATAATGACATTTTGTCGAAAACACACATGGATTGCTATCCAGCATTAACAGTTCACTTTTGGGGATGGCTTGCTTACTTGTCCTATTAAAAATAAACAGGGAGGAATCTTCCTGTTCTTTTGGAATGAGTTAAGTTAGTGAAAATGAGATAGGATTTGAAGCCTTTCTCCTTCCGTTTTCATTTCGATATGACAACTGAAATTCGATGGAGAAATAAACCCCAATTACACTTAAGTTTTTTTTTGACACAATTTTTAATATTCTTGCTGAATAATGGCTTTGAGTGAAAGAGGCGTTCCTTTAGCATTTAGATTAGATTTGAAAGAAGCTATTTAAGGTTTTCGACAGCTCCATAGTCTATATTGTTTTCACAACACGTTAGTGGATATACTTTTCAAAGAGAAAAGGGGAGGAATTGTGGATCGTTTTATGTAAGACCATTAGATCTACAGGACTTTTGCTTTACATAAGCTTTATTGAGTTCGTGTTGAGCTCATTCATATTTTTACCTGATTTAATTATAAAGAATTTGTCTATAAATTTCTATTTTCAATCTTAAGTTTCTTCTTAACTCTGCTGTTATAATTACTGTTCTCTTGCTTTGGATCAGATGCTTATAGTACTGGAGCTATTGACATAAACATAAACTTCATTCTATGCCCCTCCTACTTATCCAATATTGGTTGTCTTACAAATCTTATAAAACATTGGTTCAATACAGATATATAGACTGATACGTATTCAATATACTATTTGTTGTACATTTCCATTGAAGAATATTGAATGTTTATACCTGTTTTAACTTAAGAACCATTTCGGCAATTCCGATTTAAATACCCTTCCTCATTAACATTGTTTGTTAATTTCTGTATGTTGTTTCTATTGGAAATTGAAATCCATGAGCTCCTTTTTAATGTACAGATCATGAGCCCAAAATGTGTCGCAATGTGTCTCCATGATTTTGACAAAAATTTATATCGGAACATGATATTTGATTGTAGATAAAGTGACAGATGCATAGACCAGATCATCGTTTAAATATGCTGGTATTTGGTATGCCAGTTCGATGTATTAACAATATCTTTCAAATTTCCGAACTAGCAGAATAGATAGATGTCGATTCTTCAAAATACTAAACCGATATAGGCTTACCCATATTCAAATAAGATGGCATAATATGATGTCAGAATTGGAAATGTAACATTTTCTATGTAACATTATGTTATTTTAATGTACTTAAATTGTGTCATTCAAATGGTTTGCAAATTCCCGAGAGTAGTTAGAATTTTAGTTTCTTGGTCAAACTCTTACATATAGTGTAAAAACCTCAACTGTGATTTCCAAATGATTGGATTTCAACATTTAAATTTCAAATTGCATTCTTAAGACAATTACCATTCAGCTTCCGGAACCGACTGGTTGAAATACTTGATAATATTGTATATATACAAGGATATATATCATTGTAATTAAAGAAGGAATACAAAGTCCAGTATATAGTTTATAAAACAACTTCATCTGAACTCTTTCACATTGCGTCGCTATCCCTATATTATATAAGACTTTAAACATGCCCGATAGACAATTTAACAAAAATGTTATTACATTCTCTTCCTATTTAACATTTTGTGCACCTATAGTTCGAAGGTTTTGCATGTTTAAGGATACGATTTCATTTGGCCTAATATAATAGTTTTTCGGTTTTCAACGTGAGTAACTAGCTCCAGTCATCCTAAGACGATTAGTTATTAGGATTTTAATAGTTTTCTATAGCACAGAAATGAACAGTTGACATAATAACATTTAACGAAGCTGGTTCGTAATGAGCTGCTTAATTAAAGGCAAGCTAAGTTGAACCCTTTGTAAAAGCCTGTCCCTCATATTCTATATTAACATTCCGATAGATTTATATTAAAAAGAGGAACAATGTTGTCCCCATCGCTTCTTTTCCAATTACTTTTAAGACTAGTTTTTGCATCAAGATCATAATAGAATAGGTTAAATTTGCCTCAGCTGCCCAACTTCATACTTGGAGAAATCGCGGTGCATTATGTTAAATATTAAGATCTGTTTTAAGATCTATTTAACAAAGTACAGCCCGCAATTACAATTCTGACATTGGGTTCATACAATACAAAATAATTGAAACATTAAAACAGCGATATTTTACTACCAAGCTCAAAGGAACTATCGAAAGCGTTTATTTACTGGGTTTAAAATATTTGTATATAGCTTATTTAGATCGGATGTTATAGGATTTTATATTTTAAGTGAAAATGTTATAATATTTGCGATACAAATTGCGTAAGGGTTCTTCTAAGCATCTTTATAGCAAATAATTGCGAACTGATTTCTTAAAATTTCCTCCTAATTTCGTTACTTGTGGAAGATAATTGCCCTTTATATTTCCATTTTGTCAATCAACGTCTATGTTTTTCCCCTTTTTGTATGTCTATACAATTCTGCTCATTCCGACAATGAAATATTAATATTATTTAATTGCTTTCTGATCCATGATCTTACATAGGGCAAATCTTTCTTTCAAGGCTTATAAGACTTCTTATTTATAACATTCAACCGATGTGGATTTCTTTCTTGCCTTCTTAGACGGTAGTTAGTTTCTAATTCTGCCAGCTTTGCTTTGATATAAAGTGTTTCTGGATTTGTTTCCCTTTTTCTTTTCTACGACGCGCCTTAGTCTTCAATTTCCTTCAATGAATTGTAGTTAATATTGCTGGAAGCAGTCCTCACTGTCACTCGTATTCTTTCATTTGCCAATTTCATTCAGTTTTTATTATTATTGTTAGTGGTAATAATATTATAAGTATTTTTGTTATGCTTACTATGGTTACTATTAATACCCTAATTATTATACCCTAATTATTGAATTTATTTTATAATTTCATATGAACTCCTTACCTACACTAAGAAAAGATTTTGCTATTTTTGTGCTTACATCTCTTTTCAGCATCCTCAATAAATGATTGCAAAAGCTCAACTCAATGAAATGCCCAGTTTTCTCTTTATTATAATTTTGAATATATATCTCAATCCATATCACAAAAACGAAATACTAATTTTCTACCTTTCTCTGTTTTTGCTTGCAGTACAAACCCTGGTTGAGACGAATCTCTTCTCAGATGCTCTGTCGGCAGCAACAGGACCCAAAAAAGTGGCAAAACGCAAACGTGCCAATACCCCCTTACCTGCTACAGCATCCAGTCCAGCGACCGGCAAGGAGGGTCCATCACCTCCAACTAGTCCAGATATGCCTAAGGTTGCACCATTGAAATTCTATCAAGATACCTTGGATGAATCGAAGACAGAAGATTCAAAATCGGACAAAGAAAACGAAGAACAAGATCAGACAACATCAGCTAGTAAGAAATCCACCGACGATGATCAAAATACTGACAAGGAAAATGAAGATGATGACGATGACATTCCATTGAAGAAAGTCAAGGAAGATATAGAACAGAAGGTAGCCCAGGAAAAGAAGAAGGATTTGGAGGATGTCAGTGGCAGTGCAGGAGTAATTGACATTACCAAAGAAGGCGAGGAGGGGGTGAAGGCCAAAGAAGATACAGCCAATGATGATGCATCTTCCGATAATACAAGTGATGTTGTGGTCGTTAGGAAACCCGGTCCTGGTTGTGGTCCCAATGGTCCACCCGGTGTTCTTATGTTACATCGTCGCAAGGGACCCAAGAAGAAGTTGACATGGCGTCCCCAGGAATCCCTGGAACAGATACGCTTCTTTGAACTTGATGAAAACGAACGTGTCAATGTTACCAAGACCTCATTTATGGATATGAAAAATTTGGAACGTTTCAATGAACGTGATGCCATTGTAATGGCTCGACGTGGATTCAATCAGGAAGATAACATGGAACCACAAACAAGCTGGCGGCCCTTAATTGAAGTGGACGATGTACCACCACATCCCGACGGCAGCCAGTCGAAGCAAAGAAAAATCCAAGCGGAACGTGAAATGACTACATTGCGGGCATTGTACTTTACTCATGCTCTCATACCCGACTCGCCGGCTGAAGCTGAGATTGAACCAGTTTTCAATCATGATATACCACTGATACCCTTGGACGATTTGACAGGAAATCCAGATGCTGTTAATGACTTTACAAGCATGCCTTGGCCAGAACCAAGGGGCTCACCAAAGGATGGTGATATTGCCATTATGGCCGGCACCGGTGGTTTGGGCAGTCCTGTTGATATGTTTGGTGGTCCCAAGACATTAATGGGTAGTGCTTTACCTCCTAATAATGCTGTTGGTTTGGGTGCTGCATATGTGGCAGCTGCCGCCAAAGCAGCTCCCTTCAATAATAATGTTAATCCCTTCGGTGTTAATACACCCAATGGTCCACCAATTAATGCCATGCAAAATAGTCCACAAGGTCATTGGCAAAGATCACCCAATGGCATGGTAGGTGGCAATGTACCCATGATGGGAAGCGGTGGTAATGGCAATCCATTCAATAACAGTCATGGAAGTCCCATAATGGATATGGGTGGCCCACCCCGTTCCATGGGTGGGGCTGGTCATATGATGAATAATGGCCCCTCACCGAATTTCAACAATCAGTTCGGTCCCGGTAATAACAACAATCCATTTGGTGGTCCAGGTCCAATGAATCCTTTCTCGGGACCTGGTAATAACTTTGGCGGTCCCAATATGATGAATGGCCCCAACATGATGAATGGTCCTAACATGATGAATGGACCTAACATGATGAACGGTCCAAATATGATGAATGGCCCCAATATGATGAATGGACCCAATATGATGAACGGTCCCAATATGATGAATGGTCCCAATATGATGAACGGTCCAAATATGATGAATGGACCCAATAACCGTAACAATGGTGGTAATTGGAGAAACAACTTCCAAGACAACAATGGTGGCGGTGGCAATTGGCGACCAGCTGGCCCTGGTCCAAATAATCGTGGAAATGGTGGTGGCGGAAATGGCAATAACAATAACGGCGTCTGTAAGGCTTTTATGCGTGGTCATTGCCGCCTAGGCAAGTCATGTAAGTTTATACATCCTTCCAAGAGTAAACGCATATAGGAATGGGCTGACTCTTCTTCGCCCAATGAAGATGAGACAACGTCGATACATTCCCCTGCGCTTGACCTCAAATCAAAAAATGACTGTGATAATCTTACTTAATGTGTTGTTGCTGGAATCCGGCCGACGCTTCAAGTTAGACCATAAAAGCCTCTATCTAGAGCAAGAAAGAAACAATGAACTGCTGGAAGTTATCCAGATCGGAAGAGAGAGATCTCAAAGACTGTTTTGTTATTGCTGTATCCAATGCCACATAACCATGTTTATTAAAATATAATTTTTTTAATGAAAAGCTCATAAATATTATGTTGAACTATGAATTATTTCTATATTAGAAGTGAAGTAAAATATGTAAACTAAAAACAAATCGTATAAAATAAAAGATATCTATTAAAATTAAACTATCTCTTAAGAAATTGAGTATCCCAATATATAATGTTAATAAGCAAATAGAGGTAGCATCTACATTAAAGAAACATGTCGTTCAATATATTCATAACTCTATATATTTTTTACAATCAATGAACGTACCATTTTGCATTTCCCCAAATTGTTGTTTTATAAAACAAAACAAATACTTCCTTATGAAAAGAAATTGTATCTTGTTTTGCGCTTAGCTATTAGGCATACATCTCTGATATGCATTCGTTCCAATCTTGCATTAACCATGCACAGATCGGGTCATGTAAAGACATTCGCATTTCATTTATATTTTTCTGTAAAATTGAAATCTCGCTAATTTTTTTCTTAACTTTGTGTTGTAATTTATTTAATTTCAAATGAAAATGTCGTTTTAATCATCAAACCAACATGGCATACTATATACTATATACCCACATAAAATTGTAGTAATTATAATAGAAATGTAATCAATATAAAAAGAAATATTTCAATTTTGTACAAACTGAACTTGTTTTCGTTTCCCCTTTTTTGTTATATATTATACTGGCCGCCAATACAAACATAATATATATATGGCTTAGTGTACCTAGTAAAGATTAAAACTTAAATTTAAGTTGTTTTATTTTAAATATACATTAAAACACAACATCAATTTACTTAATTTAAATAAGAATTATGTAGGTTTTGTACAATCTAAAATAGTACCTATTTTATTAAAAGTATAAAAGTAATAAATAAAATCAATCAATGTTGAACTAAAAAAGAAAAATAGAAAGCTATTATTTTTTAATTATTTAACAAAAAAATCCAACACTGTTCTATGAAGGGCAAATTTTAAATATTCATTTAAATATATATTGTGGCATTTCTGAATTTTAAGCCTTTGAATTGTCCCTGAAATAAAAAATAATCTTATGTGAGTTGTGCAATTTAGGCCAAGGTCGAATGTGTTCTGCGTGATATTTCTGGGCCGAAAATCACAACTAAAAAAATGCATTATATCATGTCGACATTCCGGACATAAGTCTTCTGGCACTAAGAGTAGTTTTGACTATACCCATCTCAAATGAGCCAGTGTAACCCTTGGCAGTAAAATCCTTAGTTTGCTGTCGTTGGTGGATGTAATAACATAAAGGACGGCTTCTGGATGCAGGGCTTTCGGTGCTGCTGAGTTTGACAGTTAGGTATGAATTCCACAATGTCCGGGCAGTAGCGATTGTAATCCTTCGTATGGGTTTATGTTCTAATTCTCACATCATTCTGTGTTGGCAAATTTGTAATGTCGGGCTAGAGACATCATATATTTAGATATGTTCTTGAACGTGCGGTTCCACATTTCAAATACATTTCGGTTAGGAAGATCCCACCATTGGCAGTTTTCAGTTCAGAACAGCTTTCAAATGTCATCAATGAACTTTCAAAAGCTTTCAGCGAGCAATGAAAATCTTTCACCTTTATGTTTTGATTTTACAAATACAACAAAAACTCATACCGCCTCAAGAGATAACCTGTTAAATTTGAGGCTTTGAAAAAATAAGATTTTTAATTTTTTTAAGAATAAACTTTTTTAGAAAGCAATTTTATGCATTTTTCTTATTAATAAAATTATTTTTCTTATTAAAAAATTATTATTATTCTTATAATAAAATTAAATTAAGAAAAAAGCATTCTCTTCCCATTAAAGTGTACTCTGCTGGTTTTAGGAGCTTTGTAGAATAACATTTAAATAGGAAAGTTCAAAGCTGTATTTATGCAACGAACAGCGAAAATAGTCCAGCAATATTAAACATACATAAGTGGATATGTGCAATATTTTTCTTTCACATACCTTTATGTATTTGAATTAACAACGACAACAAAAACTCATACCACCTCAAGAGATTACCTGTTGAATTTGACGCTTTGGAAAACATAATATTTTTATTTTTTTAAGAATTAATATTTTCATGTAATTTTCTTATACAAAAACACTTAACATCGCCACAGACATCAAAGTGTAGTCTGTTGGTTTTTGGAGCTTTGCAGAATAACATTTAAATAGGAAAGTTCAAAGCTGCAATTATGCCACGAATAGCGTATATAGTCTAGCAGAATTAATTTGCTCTGTGCTTTTCTGAATCTAAGTTTTTGACTGATCCTCTTCTACAACCAGGAGTAGTAAAACCTCAAAACACACAGCTATCAGGTATTTTTATACCCTCAGCCACATGGCTGGAGAGTATATATCATTTAATAAGACTAAAACGAAACAACTGTTTTAGACTCTCTTTTTGGACCAAACCCGTTTCTGGTCATTTGGAGTCGATCTAACGATGTCCGTTCGTCTGCCTGGCTGGCTGGCTGGTGTACACGATAACTCTTGAAGGGAGTATCCGATTTGGTTCAAACTTGGTACATCGTAATATTATAATCAAAGATCGAGTTCGGAGATGGGAAAGTGTCAGAATTTGGAATAATTATGAAGCTCGTTAAACGAGAAATAAGCATCTGATTCTCTTCAAATTTCACACATCTCAATACTTCTACTAAAAAAAGATATGCTGGGAACATGGAATATATCGGTCCACTCCTTCTTGTATCTCCCCCACATAGAGTCAAAATTTTGAATATCTATGAAGCTAATGAAACGCGAAATTAACATCCATTTCCATTCAGACTCGGTACATCTCAATATTTCTATCAACTCAAGATCTGTTATACAGATGGGAAGGATCGGACCATTTCTCTGGTTTCTCCTCCACATTGGTTTCAAGATGTTAAGAAACGGAACGCTCAAAGAAAGTGAAATGGTTATTCAACTTTCTTCTAATCCCGCACATACACACAAGATCTGTTGTGAAGAATATATATCTGCGAACCCCTTCTGGTACCTCACCCACAAAGGGTCACAATTTTATTTGTGACAACTTGCGAAACAATTCAGCGTTTCTTTACAATTTGCTATATCTAAATATTTCTCTCAACCAGAAACCTGTGATGAATATGGAACTTATCGGAATTTATGATTTTGAATTAAATTAACTTTAGTAAATGTTCGATTTTCTTGTAATTCGGGTGTGCAAACAAACCTTCAGAGATATCACCCTGTATTTCAAACAAATTATAACAAAACGTAAACACCCGACATTTTCATTGTTAATTCAAAATTAAAACTTGATTCCCGAAAGAGTCCTTCCATAGTCGTTAGAAATCTACAGATTTATGTTATGTTGGTTCTTTCACTTAAATTATTCTGCACATTGTTACACACCTTCAAGCATAAGTAAAGGCGGCAACATTTTAGACAAATCTCCACCATATATTCCAACTATTACCTCGCTATATCCCGTAATTTTGTAGAGTTTAATTGAGCTTTCTTTGCAAATCTTGAAATATAGAGAATTTTGATGAAGATTTCAGTGGACATTAAAATATAAAGGCAACACGGGATCATGTATTCGACATATAAATTAGATATATTACAAATAGAAAACAAACGCGTCTATATTACCCTCCCTTATCTACATTGACTATGACATAATTTCATGTCCATAGTTCATTCGCCGTCTTTGGGGGGTGATTTTGGGTCCATTAAAAGTAAAATAGAATTTCAACAGAAAAAAATCAATAAGAAAGAATGTCAATGTACAGCAAAATTTCAAGGGTTTTGTTAAGACTCGACATAAAACGAAATATTACGAAATTTGTAAGGTTTCAGAGGGACACAGCAAAAAAACACAGGTAAATATTTCAAATGTTATTCACATTTTAGTACTGAGAGTTGACTCAACCACATAAAACGTAACAAGTGTTCAAAAAAAAAAAATAAATAAATAAATAAATAAATAAATAAAATTTAATTCATCCACAATACATATAAAATGAATTTAGTTCGTATATTATTAATCGTCAGCGCCTTCCTGACAACGGCATCGGCCCTTAGTTTTATTGTAACTTCGAAAATCTATATGGATGTGAAGCATCAAAAGAAACCTTTGGGTCGCATAATTTTCGGTTTATTCGGCAAGAGGGCACCGAAGGCCACAACAAATTTCCGTCACATTTGCACAAGAGGAATTAATGGCACCACCTATGTTGGATCGGAATTTCATCGGGTCATCAATCGTTTCATCATTCAAGGTGGTGATATTGTAAATCATGATGGAACAGGTTCGACAAGTATTTACGGTGATTATTTCGAAGATGAGGCACTGGATATTGAGCATTTAAGACCCGGTTACTTGGGTATGGCAAATCGTGGTCCCGACACAAATGGCTGTCAATTCTATATAACAACGGTGGCGGCCCGTTGGTTGGATGGTAAACATACGGTGTTTGGCAAAGTTTTGGAGGGCATGGATGTGGTACACGCCATCGATGATGTAAGTTTAATGAGTAAGCATTTAGGAAGAAGCTATAGACGTACATTTTTTTAATAGATTGGAGAGGACCCAAAATTCAATGTTTGGTTGGCTATTGGTCTGTTCCAAAACCTGCAAGAATCTATTCGTTTTGCAATTTTTTCGATATCATAAAGGCAAAACCGGTTATCATAGTAAAAACTTTTACATTCTTGAAGTTCTGGAAAATACCATATATTTGTCCTTCGTTTACAAAAGAGAGGATACTAGGATATATCTCATTCGGGAAAAATTGCAAAGCTAGTAGATGCTTTAAGATTCTGGAACAAAGCGTATGCTAGTAAAATACATCTCTTGATCAAGAAACTTTTGGTCTGTTCCAGAACTTTAAGAATGTGAAAGTTTTTACTATGATAACCGATTTACCCATTATGATAACGAAAGAAATGCAAAACTAATAGATTCTTGCAGCTTCTGGAAGAGAGAACTAACTAGCAGATTCTTGCAGGCTTGGGAAAATGCTTTCACTTTGGAAATTACTAGCCTAATTATTAATGCTGTGTTTTAAAACCTGCAAGAATCTACTAGATTTGCATTCTTTTCCGATATGATAAAGGGAAATCGGTTATCGTAGTAAAAACTTCTTGCAGTTCTGGAACAGACGAATTCGAAATTCTTTTTGTTTTTTGCTCATTTTTATACCTTCCACATTGGAAAGGAGGGTATATAAAGTTCATCTTCCGTTTGTAATATATTCGCCCTATAAATTATATACAGGGTGAGATAAAAAAACTGCAACAAAGTCAAACGCCATAATTTTTACTTTTTTTTTTAAATTTTATTGAATGAAAGCAAAAAATGTCGGAAATAGAATCAAACTTTACAATAAGTTTAGATTTGTTCGAATTAGTCACCTTTGGCATGAATTATGGCCTTCAAACGACCAATGAAACCGTCACTCGCTGCCAGAATGTTGCTCTGCGGTATTTTGGCGCATTCCCGGCGAAGTGCATGCTTGATCGACATTTTGGTATTTTTTAAAGCCTTGGTTTCCAAAATACTACAGACACAATAGTTCAATGCTTGAAATGAAACGAGGAACCTCATTTTATAACCACTCTTGGGTGGCGCGTGCTGAGTGCGATAATCCTGAGTTCTGTTGGAATGTCTAAGGTCTGCGGCGAAAATATTTGCGTGCCAAGGCTTTAATGCACCCTCCAGAATATTTTCGCGATAATATTCGGCAATTATTCTGATGCCACGGTCGATTAATACGAGCGGAGAGCGACCATCGGTTGTTATGGCGGCCCACACCATCACAATGGCCGGCGCTTGAGTTCTGGTGGCCAACCGAAGGTGCACATTTTCAGCTGACCTCTTTGGCAAGTAAACACTATCATTTTGTTTGTTTACAAACAGCTGGACAACAAAATTTTTCAATATTTGCGGAATAGAATATTGCGATATGTTCAGCTCACGAGCCATTTCCGGTCACTGCGACGCGGGTTTCGATCAAATCGCTTCTTTACTTTTGGAACCATGTCTGCTGATGTTGCTGTTTTCTTCCGTCCATTTCCTTGACGTCGGGCTACGCTACCAGTATCATGGTAACGAGCGATTTTACGAGACACAAAATATTTATTCACATTTAAATGCTGGAGTTCTCTAACGATAGCCACTTGTGGTTTTCCAGTCAAATATAAATAAATCACACTATCAAGCTTAAATACCATCACGATTGACTGTTTTTCTTAAAAATTCTCATCAAATTGATTTTGTACGTTTGTAAACAATATAATGAAATGACAGCAGTCTGAAGTTGGTTGCAGTTTTTTTCATTTCACCCTGTATTGATTTGATTGATATTGATTATTGATTTTTATACATTTTTTGTCTTATTTACGTTATTTCAATGTTTCTAGGTGAAAACGGATAGAGATGATCATCCCATACATCCGGTTATTATAACGAATTGTGGTGAAATACCAACTGAACCCTATGAATTTTATCCTGATGATTTTAGGTAAGCCAAATGCATACAATTTTAATTAGGTCTTAAATAAATATATTTCTTTATACTTTCAGTGTTTGGGGTTGGATAAAATCGGCTGGAATACCAGTGGCTAGTTCGTTTGTCATTCTCATCGTATTTCATTATTTCTTCCGGCAATTAAATATGTATTGTTAAATTTATGAATGAAAAAATAAACAATTATATTTATTAATCAGAAGATTATATAAAAAATATATTTCATATTCATAATTTTTGCGAATCTTTAATGGTGCCACGCAACAAAATCGGCAGAGTTGGTCCCATATGCAACTGCAATGTAAATATTAAAGATATAATTATTTTATTGAAATTCAAAATTTTTCTAAAACTTACATCGATAAACAAATAATCTTCAATTTGTTGATTTGCCGCATAATGCAATCTTTCGGGTCGTATTAGTATTACTACATTAAGTTTTGCTCCGGAAATAGTCTCATTTTTGCATTTCGTAAAAATCTTACAATGCGTATGATGGTGTTTGAGTTCGGCATAAATTGATTTATTCAAGCTGCCGTAATGATTCACTAACCACTTACGAGTGCAACGACTGCGACGAAGACTACGTTGGTGTTGTGACCTTTTGTCTATATCAAATGAATGGGCATGCCTGATTTTAGGATCAACTTCAACATCCATTATACGTTCGTACATGTTGCGATAGCGTTTCAATTGTTTCGTTTTACATTGATTTTGATTAGGGCGATGACAAATGAATTGTAAATCGCCAGCTCTAAAATTACACAAACATTTTTTAATTAACCTAATTGTAACTTGTTTTACATTATATATAAAGTATTTTTTTGGGAACCAGATAAAGTAGGATAATTTAAGAAGACTTCTACTACATACAGTATAATATCTATAACACTCCATAAAATTCATATTTTTAATTTGCCATATTTAGACTACATCGTCTACTTCCTATACTTTATATGAGATATGTCAACATTTTTGAAAAATGTGGAAATATGCTTGAGGTACCAGATACAGGGTGAGAAACTGGAACCAAATTCAGACTGCTGTCATTTCTAAGCCACGGGTCCGACAGCTCTTAAAATTATTCCAGTAACAGTTTATTATATTGTTTACAAGCGTACAAAAACATTTTGGTGAGAGTTTTCCAGAAAAAAAGTTATTCGTGATGGAATTCAAGGGTGATAGTGTGATTTCTTTATAATTGGGTGGATAACTAGAAGTGGCTATCGTTTTAGCACTCCGGCATTTAAATGTGAATAAATCTTTTGTGTCTGGTACCATCGCTTGTTACCGTGATACTGGTAGCGTAGCCCGACTTCAAGGAAGTGGGCGGAAGAAAACAGCAACATAAGCAGAAACTTGATCGAAACCCGTCGCCGAAAAATGGCTCGTGAGCTGAATATATCATGCTCGGGGTAAAGCCATTGAAATTCCAAAAAGTGCAAGAACTTACACCGCAACAGAAAAAATATACTCAAAAGAGCTTCGCTTGGCCGAAAGTGGTGAACTGCGAATTTGGGGTTCTCCGATTAGAAAACATTCATTGTCCAGCAGCTTCTTAACAAACAAAATTATCGTGTTTACTGAAAATGTGCACCTTCGGTTGGCCACCAGAACTCAAGCGATGGTCTGGGCCGCCATAACAGCCGATGGTCGCTCTCCGCTCGTATTAATCGACCGTGGCATAAGAATAAATGCCGAATATTATCGCGAAAATATTCTGGAGGGTGTATTAAAGCCTTGGGCACGCAAACATTTTGGCCGCAGACCTTGGACATTCCTACAAGACTTAGCACCATCGCACTCACCACGCGCTACCCAAAAATGGTTGCAAAATGAGGTTCCTCGCTTCATTTCCAGCACACAATGGCCACCAAAATCTCTAGATACCAATCCGTTGGACTATTGTGCCTGGAGTATTTTGGAAAACAAGGTTGGCACTAAAAAATACCAAAGTGTCGATCACTTTAAGCAAGCGCTTCACCGGGAATGGGCTAAAATACCGCAGTGCCACATTCGGGCAGCGTGTGACGATTTCATTGGTGGTTTGAAGGCCATAATTCGTGCCAAAGGTGACCAAATCGAACAAATCTAATTTTATTCTAAAATTTAATACTATTTCCGACCTTTTTTGCTTTCATTCAATAAAAATTAAAAAAAAAATGTAAAAATTATGGCGTATGGCTTTGTTGCAGTTTTTTTTATCTCACCCTGTATTTAGATTTTTACACGTTCTGTGTTTAAAATCAGATTAAATTCCTGAATTTGTTTTTATCTAAAGTATGTTAATCTTTCGTACTGTAATTTCAATCGCCATAGTATATTTGAGATATTATATCCCAATTAACATTGCCGCAATTTTCTGCTTGTGAGTGAGAGATGTTCTAAAGAGGTGAGAGTCTCCATTTTCCTCACATCTCGCACAATCAAAATGAAAAATTTAATTTCATATTAAAAAATGGGATTATTAGAAAACATTTTAAAAACTTACTTGTCTTCAGCTTCAATATCAACAAAGACGCCTGGAATTTCTATGACACTTCTTGCGGCTGCTATAAGTTTTCCGGGACCTAAAAACTCCAACGACACAGAGTAATTGTGGTATTGATTAAATACCAAATTACCTAACTCCAAAACAACGCCTCTCATTTGGAAGAGCAGAGGTTGAATGGTAAAATATTTAAAATTTGAGGCAAACTTGTTAACATTTGAATTCCTACATGAACGTTGATATTCTTGATGGAGGATCTTAAAGAGTTTACGAGTTTCAGCGTTCACCTGAAGTTGTTGGAGAAATCTTTCAGTTTCCAATAAATGTTCCAAAACCGTGGCGTTTGGTAACTCTTCGTTATTGTTTATTAAAACATAACTTTTGAGAACACAACGAAAGAAGTTGAGTTCTTGATTCCGCCGTGTCGTCGATCTTGCCGTTGTGGAATGACTTTCATCCAATATTGATCCTGAAGATTCTTGCGATAATTCCATTAAGGAACATATAGACTTATTCACATCGCGTTCTTCTGCTTGCATATTGAACAACTCATTATCATATTCCGTAATTTCAGTGAACATTTCAAAATAATAGATCTTTTGTAAAAAACGATATTCATTGATAATTTCCTCTGTCGTTTGTAGTTCTTGTGACAAATTTCGTTTTTCGGCTATAAAGATTGGCATAATACCCTGACCGAGGAATTTTACTGTTTTCACTTCGCCATTATTTATGGTTATACATAGTTCACGTTTAAATCCTTCCTCACTTAAACCCATTGAACCTTCAAATTTTAAGAAGATTTTATCGAAGGGTGGTAGTGTCAATTCCTTGTCGTCTAGCATTTTTATGTAGCCGATGATTGAGGATGGTAGATTTCTTGATGTTTTGGATATTATTTGTGTATTTAGGTTTATTTCGTAATTTGTTATATTCTCTGCAAGCACTTGTGCCATGAATTGTTCATACCATGGCTAAATGGGAGAGGGAAATAAAGAATACTTTGTGAGTACAAAAGCAATTTCCAAACTTTTGATCGACATAAGGGAAAGAAACCTTGTATGCTGATATTTGAATTTGGATAATCTTATACAGTTTCTGGGAAACAAATGACAATCTCTAAATTTTTGAAATTTTTAAAAATTAAAAAAAAATCGAGAACTTTTTCAAAAATTTCATTTTTTTTAATTCAGAATTTTTTTAATGTTTAAATTTTGTTTGCGATTTCTTATTAAAAATTTAAAACTTTTATATATTGAGTGAGAATCAACCCCCAAATGAAACATCTGAAGGTAGAATCTGGGTTTTTGGAAATTCGCACTAAAAAAGGGTACGAAAGTACTAAAAAAGTAATACTATGCCCAGGGTACTTTATCTCACCCTGTGCATAGAAAGTCAAATGCCATAATTTTTACATTATTTTTTTTTTAAATTTTATTGAATGAAAGCAAAAAATGTAGGAATTAGCATCAAATTTTAGAATAAGTTTAGATTTGTTCGAATTGGTCACCTTTGGCTCGAATTATGGCCTTCAAACGGCCAATGAATTCGTCACATGCTTCCCGAATGTTGCTCTGCGGTATTTTGGCCCATTCCCGGCGAAGCGCGTGCTTGAGGTGATCGACACTTTGGTATTTTTTTAGTGCCAACCTTGGTTTCCAAAATACTCCAGACATAATAGTCCAACGTATTAGCATCCGGAGATTTTGGTGGCCATTGTGCGCTGGAAATGAAGCGAGGAACCTCATTTTGTAACCATTCTTGGGTGGCGCGTGCTGAGTCCTGTTGGAATGTCCAAGGTCTGCGGCCAAAATGTTTGCGTGCCCAAGACTTTAATACACCCTACATTTATTCTGATGCCACGGTGGATTAATACGAGCGGAGAGTGACCTTCGGCTGTTATGGCGGCCCACACCATCACCAGGGCCGGCGCTTGAGTTCTGGTGGCCAACCGAAGGTGCACATTTTCAACTGACCTCTTTGGCAAGTAAACACGATCATTTTGTTTGTTTACAAACTGCTGGACAACGAATGTTTTCTCATCGGAGAAATCAAAATTCGGCAGTTCACCACTTTCGGCCAAGCGGAGTAACTCTTTAGTTTTTTTGAGTCTATTTTCTTTCTGTTGCGGTGTAAGTTCTTGCACTTTTTGGAATTTCAATGGCTTTATCCCGAGCTCCTTTTTCAGCGTACGAGCCACTGCGACGTGGGTTTCGATCAAGTCGTTTCTTTACTTTTCGAACCATTTCTGCTAATGTTGCTGTTTTCTTCCGTCAACTTTCTTGACATCAGGCTACGCTACCAGTATTATGGTAACGAGCGATGGTAAGACACACAAAATATTTATTCACATTTAAATGCTGGAGTGCTCTAACGATAGCCACTTGTGTTTTTTCAGTCAAATATAAACAAATCACACTTTCACGCTTGAATTCCATCACGAATAACTTGATTTCTGGAAAAATCTCACAAAATCTCTCACGCCTGTAAACAATATAATGAGCTGTCACTGGAATAATTTTAACAGCTGTCGGACGAGTGGCTTAGAAATGACAGCAGTCTGAAGTTGGTTGCAGTTTTTTCATCTCACTCTGTATATGGGAGCTATACCTAAATTTGAACCGATTCTCACCAATTTCAACATGGTTCGTCCTTATGCCAAACAGGTATTGTTTGAAAAATTCGGATAATAAATGCGACCTATAATAAATGCGATCGTATAATAAATGCGACCTGCATTATGTTCACAAAAATACATGTACAGACGGACGGACAGCCGGACTGACATGCATAAATCGACTCAGAAAGTGAACGACTCTATGAAGATCCTCAAAAGTAACTATGGGTCTATCTCTTTTCCCTCTCCATTTTACAAACAATTGCACAAAAAAAAATACCCTTTGTGTAGGGTATAAGTAAGTCTGAAATTTTAAAGGTTGACTTTTCCTTGATGAATGCGCGGCACTTGCTAATCTTAAACTATAAACGTCCCTTTGTAAATGATTGTAGGAGTACACTTTAGTTCAGGCGTCAATTCGAAAAAATACCGAGAATAAATAGATAAAACAATTAGGAAATATTCTCGAATTTTTGTGGGAACTTTGGTGCAAATATTTTTTCGATATACTGTAGAATGTTTTTTTACATATATATGAAATGCTGACTTTTAGGTAGAATTTTGACGCCTTCTAGGACCTATTTTATGAGAAATAATTTTGTATTTGGGGAATATTCCCGTTTAAAAAGATTTTTTACCATATTTTCAAAAATAGACCCACATGTTGACTCCCTTGGGGATTACAAAATGATATTCGTGTTTTTATCTGCAATATTGACGAAGACACTATATACCTAACATCAAAGGTTTCTAAGGAATCTTAATTCGAAAGTTGCAAACTCAATTTAGGTTACTTTGCTTTGTTTACACACATACTTACCTTTACCCCCAAATAAACACTATCCTTGCTGAGTTTTAATGTTCGATCCAGATTTACTAAATTAATTCGGAATTCTTGGCTTTCTCCACCAATAATCTGCAGTTGGAATGTTGCACAAACCTCAAAACCTTAAAAATATTTAAATGCATTTAATTTCTTTCATGAAAAATAAGAAATAGCTTCACCTCTTCTTATTGGAGGAATGTGTAAAGCACACATTATTGTTTCGCGTCCTTGCACGATGCCACTTTTTTCAAAAAAGTATACTCTGCCTTTGACGTCGCAGGTTTCAGAACTGGGTTCGGAGATTGTATAGCTATCTTCAATTTTAATATGTTGCAAAATTTCATCCAACGTGTGGTAGACATATGCCGTGGATGATGTTTGCTCTAGCAGATTTGAAGATGAGGGCACTTTACAAAAATTCTTATTATAATATAATGTTTTTGAATTCGTGTCATTTTTCTTATTCGAAATTGGTTCGGCAATATGTTCCTGGTCGTGATGAGCTATGCCAGATTTTTCGGGTTCGTTAATAATATTTTCCAAAATATCTGGCGATAATTCATGTAAACACAATTGCTTTTCCAATATTTCCATTTTAGAAGAAGATAGTCTGGGCTCAGCAGGTGGCAATGGTTCCAATAACTCCAATTTATAACGTTTGTGGGTTAAATCAAGCTCATTTATAATATCATCCAATATTTTTCGTACGCCAATGGGATCTTCCAATTTGGGCAGAACACAACGTAATTTCTGATAACGTTTTGTCATATTAGGCTCGGGATCATTTTCAAAAATAATAGTTTCCAAATTAAGGGATGCAATGATATCCGATATAATTATATCGGCTACTTGTTGACTATCATCCTCCTAAAAGCCAAAAATAGTTTTTAATATTAGATAAAAACAAATATTTATTTTGAAGACTTACTTCACTGATATAATGCCAGTTCTCTTGAAGTTTAGACCATTTGTACATGGCTGGCACATTTCCCGAATTCCTAACTGGTATAAAGGTTCCACCTTCTGCATTTTTTACAAAGAGTGTAACATTGTTATGTTGGATATTTAACGAAGGAGTAAATATGTTGAGTTTGATGTTGACAGATTTCTTAACCAAAAATAAGAAATAGAAAAACAGTCAATAAAAGTACTATTTTATCGTCTAAATGTCCCTAATCAACTAATTTACCTGTTTATGTGAATTCGCCGAACAGTTTATACGACCATCAACAGTAGAATTGTTGTGTTCTTTCACTGATTTCTTATCCAAAATTAAGAAAATCTCCTTAGTTTCTGCTGGACACATTGCAAATTCCAGTTCCTTAAGCGAAGGACATTCGAAGTGTTCTTTAAGCATAAATGGACTGAAGACCTTCAAACAGACCATTTCAATGAAATTATTTGTGGTGTTGGTAAGCTTTAATAGTTCTGAAAGGGAACATTATGAACAGTTATCAGAGCTATAATCGTTGATTTTTATATAATTTTCTCGGGGATAATCACAACAATTATCGTAGATTTTTTCAAATTAATTTAGTACCATTCAGTACTTTTCGTACACTTTCTAGAAAGTCCTTTTCTATACTAAACTTTAATTAACATTCCTCCTAAACCATTTAGTACCATTCTGTACTTTTCGTACACTTTCTAGAAAGTCCTTTTCTATACTAAACTTTAATTAACATTCCTCCTAAACAAAAATTCCATCAAAATCAAATTGTACGGTTCATGCATTTAATACAGTACAGTGCTTACACTCATTTAGTGTATTTTAGTACTTTTGCTACTCTTATTATTCGATTTCCCATAGAGCATTTGATTCGTCAATCCCACACAACATCAAAGTCCATAATTCCAACTATCCGGTTTCCAGACTAATTTCTTGCTAAAATACCAAATTTAGTATCATTTAATACTTTTCGTACTTTTTGGTACTTTTTTAAAAATCCAACTCCATATATCAATCCTACCTCACAAAAAATTACCCTAATACGAAATTTCAGATTTCCAACTCTATCCCCATATCAAGATTTCAAATTTCCAGCTCCACACATTGACCCAAATTCAAAATGTACCTATTTCGGCACCATGAAGTACAGTCAGAGTTCACATTTTAAAAACCACCACCTTATATCAAACCTAGTTCCCCGGTTTAATTCTTGTATAAAATGTGTTCATTTAAGCTCTATCCGTTTACATAGTACCCAATATAGTGTTTTTAGTACTTTTAGATCGAATTCCAAAAAAAAAACTTTAGCACATCTATCCTATATCCCATCAGCGACTTTATTCCAAATTCCAGAAGACCGTCTCTATCCGTTTGACAAAAAAAAACAGTAGATTCAATTTAAGTACCTTATAGCCTGTGGATCTAGAGACTCCCTCTTACACATCTGTACCTCTCTCTCTTTATACATATAGAATGCAGAACTTTCCTTACTTGCCTGGATGGAGGTTGCCTATCCACCAGATGGTTATTGGGATGGTTGTGTTTATAACACCCAAGCAAGTATTGAATTTTATTATGTTGCAGCATCGGTAAGACCTTTGCTTGCTCATGTAGAGGGTTAACGGAGGTCATAAGGAGGCATCCTGTTGCGGTTTTTGGGGCGCCATTCTGTCAGGATTGAATGTGTTTTCATTTCACAACGGAGCCGCATAGTCTACCATAGACCGGAATATCGTTTTGTACAACAAGGTTTCTATGTCAGTTCTCCATGGACTTGAGAACCGTGTTCCTACTTCTAATCTTGTCGCAGATACCTTTGGTATGCTCGGACGACTTTTTGGTGGTTCCAATTAAAACAGCATCGACCTGCACATTCACTGATATCCTGACATCGGCTGTCCATGTGGTGAAAAGTGGGGCCGTCGATTTCGTGGCGGATATTTTCATATCCCTCAGACATACGAAAAACTCTTTCGAGTTTATTGAAAGAGTGAAACTCCCATGAATTCGAGTTGGAGCGCTCCTGGGAAATAAATCGAATAAACTCATTTTTTGATGCCGCTTGAATAGGAAACAATACATTTAATACAAAATTTAGTACCATTTAGTACACCCTTTTCTAATTTTCGGATTTCAGCTCTATTCCTTCACCCAGTACCAAACTTAGAACTTTTCGTACAATTACACTACACATTTCCAAAATCAAGATCATATACCACTCCCAGATACCAACACAGACCTAAATATCAAATTTCGAAATTTCAGCCCTGCCCCTTCACCGAATGCAAAATTTTATACTATTTAGTATTTTTCGTACGAATTTAGTAGGAATTTCTAAGCCACCGCAAAATTTCAAAGACAATGCCACCAGTAAGCTATGTATCATATATCAAATATAGTGCCATTTAGTACTTTTCGTACAATTATTTATATACATTTTCAAAACCACCTTGACGGTGGATACTCAGATACAGACACCATCAGTAATCTAAATATCAAACTTCAGAATTTTATCTCTATCACTTCACCCAATACCAAATGTAAAAACATTCAGTTCACAATTCCGCAATTACTTCCATATTCCCAGGCTACACAGGAACATAGACACTAATGCAAAATTTCAGATTTCAAGCACCACTGTTCACCCAAAGCCTAATTGTACGAAATGTGGAACTATTTAGTACTTTTCCTGCACTTGCAGTACACATTTATAAAATCACCTCTTTAATACGAACCTATCAACAATACCCCAATACAAAATTTTCAAATTTCCGCTTTATTTGTTCACACTAAACCAAACTGTTCCAAATTTAGTACCATTTAGTACAGTTCCCTTACTTAGTAAGCATTTCCGACACCACCTTCATGTATCAGGCTTACTTTCCAACCTTAATTCTCATAAAAAATTTCAAAATGTACCATCTTACAAATTTAGTAACATTCAAAATCATTTGGTACACATAAGTACGAATGTCCAAAGCTTCCTACACACCCCAATCATACACTCTCACAAATTCTGGTATTCCATCCCTGTTGGATCGTGCAAATACAAATTGTACATTATTTAGTACATTTTAATGCATATAAGTACAAATTTAAAAAACTACATATATATCCCAATCCTTTACTCCGACAGTAATCTTATTTCCAATTTTCAGTATACCAGCTCTATTGGTTTACACAAATCCAAATGGTACCAAACTTAGAACCATTGAGTACACTTAAGTACAAATTTTCATTACTACCTACATCATACCGTCAAATAGAAATCTTATTTTGAAATTTCGGGATTCAAATCCTACAGGTTCGCCCAAATGTTCAGTTGTACAAAATTTAGTGACATAAGCACGAATTTCCAAAACTACCTACATTCTTCAGTCTAAGAATGCAATAGTAATCTTATTTCTAAAGTTCCGAATTCCAGCTCTATCGGTTCAACTAAATCGAAATTGTACCAAACTTAGTACCATTTAGTACTTATCGTGCACATAAGTACAAATTTTGAACACTTATATCCCAATCCTACACTCTATCTATCTATCTATCTATCTATCTATCTATCTATCTATCTATCTATCTATCTATCTATCTATCTATCTATCTATCTATCTATCTATATATCTATCTATCTATCTATCTATCTATCTATCTATCTATCTATCTATCTATCAATGACCCTCATTCCAAATTTAAAAATTCTATCTCTACTGTTTCCTCAAATTCAAGTGGTACCATATTTGGTACCTTTAAAAAGTTTTTGTAAAATTATGTTAGAGAATTAAATTATCTGTTTTGTGAAGATCAGTATATTTAAAAAATATTATTTTATTTACCCCACTGTGGATGTTCCTTATACTTGTGTGTGCGACAATAATCCATTTTAATTTCCCGACAATTCCACATTAACTCCGGTTGTGAAAACTGACCTCTAATAACAAAACGTGAGGATTGCTTCCTCGTCGGTTCTGCTAGATCAATAATATCGATGCGAAATTCATTATGAATGCTAACAGGTTCACAGGCATTGGCCACTATAAAAAATTGATCTTGTGACATTGGATCCATCACCAAATTATTGGGTTTTATTAGCAGCTTCGCTTTTATTTGTGTTATATGGCAAATTGGTTTGGACGAACTTTTCGTTTTTGTTATCGCAATCCGATATGAATGTTTACCACGATTTACAACTCGTATTAGTTTTGTATAGTTTGAGATTTCAGAGTAGTATTCATTTTCGGTTGTGCATAAAATCGTGCCAATATTAAAATCTTGCAGTTGAATATCTGGTTCAAAAAATATCGGCATTCCTTCGACATGTATGGTAATGGGGATTTTCTATTTAAATTTAAGGTTATTTCAATTTGAAAAGCTCAATTTTATTTCTATGTACCTTAACTGTTTCATATTGCATGATGATGTTCCAAGTATTCCTATATAATCCGGGATCAGTAAAATACATTTCCATTAAGACAACCATGCCTTGTCCAGTTGGCGCCAGTTGTCCGCCCTCCGGATAAATTCTAAAGTGAATTTCGTCTTTCTGTAGAAATTTAATTTAAATGAAAATTATCGTAAAATATCCCTAATAAATGTCATTATATTACCAATTTCATACTAAACCAAGTAGTTGTCGGTGTTATATTGTCAATGTATATGTAGAAGTTTGTCCTCTCCAATACCGTTACTCTTTTGACAATTTGTTGGGGATTGATGTTAATTTGAGGTAGAAGAACTTCAGATTTGATGTGAAATGGAAATCCAGTATTGACGCCAATAAACTTTATGCTGTTGAAGAAAAATCGCGAAAGATAAGAAATTTAAGACTTAATTTAGGTAGAAGACTACTTTAAAAAATAATTTCAAATTTGCCAATTTCTTTTAAGCCAAATAACTTTTTATGTCCTTTATTATGATACCGCCTTATGTGGCACTGTGGGGAAGATTTAGCTAAACCAGCGGGGGTTTGCTCAGTGTCTTCAACATATGGCCTAGGATCTTTAGTCTAGTGAAATCGCACAATTGGATCGTATTGTGTCTAGGATGGTTGGTATTGAAAATCAAATGTATCGGTCCACGTTTTGGTATTGCCGCCATACGACGGCACCTTCCGATATTTGGTATTTTTGACGATTTTTGCCACATTTTTTCACGGATTTATCTAAAAATTGGTATTTTTAGCTCCGGTGGCAGAACATTAAATATTTAATATTTAAGTCCACGTTTGCCTACATCTGCCATATATTGGTACCACCCTATTTTCGGTATTTTGATGAAAAAGATACAACAGCCTATGACAGAATTCGGCCGGGCCAAACTTACAGCTATTTTACTTGTTCTCATTCGGTTCTCCGTTTAATATTGTCTTAGTTTCGTTGCTCGTTATTCTCTTTCTTGATAATTTTGAGTAAAGAAGTTCCCGTTACACGTGTTGGAATCAGGTATAAAAGGGTGGATTATGGCAGAATCGGGTTAGTCAGCACTCTCCCAAAAGTATCTTCTAGTATCCTTGTAGTCTACTTCAGTAATTATTGAGGTCTCTCGCAACCGCATCATTTAATATCCCTGCAGTCTGCTTGAGTACTTATTAAGGTATCTGCCAACCTTGGCTTTGAATATCCTTGTAGACTGTTTGTGTACTTATTAAGATCTCTCGCAACCGTATCATTTCCTGTAGTCTGCTTGAGTACTTATTAAGGCCTTGCAACTGTAACTTTTAATATCCTTGTAATCAGCTTGAGTACTTATTAAGGTCGCTTGCAATCGTATCTCTTAATATCCTTTTAGTTTGCCTGAGAACTTATTAAGCACTCCCTAATAGGTCCTGCATGAGGACTTATCAAGGTATCTCGCATAAAATTCATTCCGTAGACTTGAACAAGCCATCCCCAATCCTAAATACTAAATCCTGCCACGTGTCTCGAGTACTTATCCGGGTCTCGAGTCGAAGAACCATTTCCAGTTCTGGGTTGAAAACGAGTATACTTACCATAGAATAAGAATATTATAAGTTAATTTAACAATAAAACGTAATATCGAACGAAATCAACTATCTCTCTTTCTGTCTCAAAAGAAATACATTTCTGTGCGAACCCTCGGAACCCTACGAGCCATTGCGAGAAATCCTTGAACCTCTCTGTTAAACCATATAAAAGTGACTCCCAATCGCAAATGTTTGCCACGCGAGAACGTCTCATATGCAGGTCCTGAAAAAAAGGATATAAAATTGCCCGTCCGCACCGGAAATTTTGGTGGGGAAAGGTACATTCGACCATGCAGCACCTGAATGATGTTATCGCCAGTTTGACTATATCAAGTTCCTCCAACTACCACTCAGCCTCCACCTATAAACACCGAATCCCAGACAAACATTAATAGTCGTATTACGGTTACGCCGTCGATACTTAGTACCGGATCTAATCCGGGAATGAGATTTTAGAAATTCCGATTGAATTTCTCTGGAAGGCCTCATTTGTAATAATTAATTGAGCTCGATAGATATTTAGAAAACCAATAACCCTATATTAACTTACAGTCCCAAAAGCGAAATAAATCCAGGTTTCTTATATTCCACAGCACATGGAACTTTGATGATTGATTCTGGTTCAACGAAATATTTCCAACGGTAATTTAAAAATTTCATTGTACCATATTCATTGTCAGGCTACAAAAATACACAATTATGGCAAAATGTTTTATAATTTCCAAATATATATACTCACAATTACATCGAAATAGAAAAATCCACCAATTTTACTGCAATTCTCAAAAATCATTTCAAATTCATATAGTTCTCCAGCATACAGAGGATCTTGCATATTGATAACATTATCCCATACAATTTCTGGCACCGAACAATTATATTCAACCCATAGTTTACTCAATAAATTATTGGAACGTACTATTTGTTGCAAATTCGACTCTATACTGTCAGCAACATTATTATCATCATCAGGATTACTGGAAGGTGGCAATATTGGACAAACCCGCAATTCAATATATTTCTGTTGATGACCAATGACATTCGGTATTACGACAACACTTATAACTTTTCCCGTATTCGGATTAAGATAGATTATTTCATTATTACAATAGATTTCTTTTGGATCAGAAGATAGGGAATTCCAATCCATGTTACAATAGTTTTTATATTTATCCATATCATAAAAATATGAGGTTTGTAATAAGGCGGATAATGCCTCTTCGATGACTTTTTGTTCCATATCTGGTTTGTCGAATATTTTCAGTTTTTTCAAATGATAAATTAAATTGGAAGCAATTGTGGGTATGGAATCTATAATATAGGAATATAGGTATTTACAAACTTTAAGGCATATTCATGACCTATATATAAAGCACATCTGACAACTAAGATAGCTGTCAAAGATATAATTGTGGTTTAAAATTTAAAGAGAGTTAAATCATAATAAGGGGCGAGATAAAACAAAACTGAAACAAAGTCAAAAGCCATAATTTTTACATTTTTTTTTTAATTTTATTGAATGAGAGCAAAAAATGTTGGAAATAGCATCAAATATTAGAATATGTTTAGATTTGTTCGAATTGGTCACCTTTGACACGAATTATGGCCTTCAGACGGTCCATTCCCGGCGAAGCACTTGCTTCAGGTGATCGACACTTTAGTATTTTTTAGTGCCAACCTAGCTTTCAAAAATACTCCAGACACAATAGTCCAACGGATTGGTATCCGGAGGATACCCCATTCTTTGGTGGCGCGTACTGAGTCCTGTTGGAATGACCAAGGTCTGCGGCCAAAATGTTTGCGTGCCCAAAACGTTAATACACCCTCCAGAAAATTTTCGCGATAATATTCGGCATTTATTCTGATGGCACGGTCGATTTATACGAGCGGAGAGCGACCATCAGCTGTTATGGCGGCCCACACCATCACCATGGTCGTCGCTTCAGTTCTGGGCGCCAACCGAAGGTGCACATTTTCAGCTGACCTCTTTGGCAAGTAAACACGATCAGTTTCTTTTTTTACAAACTGGTGGACAACGAATGTTTTCTCATCGGAGAAAACCAAATTCGGCAGTTCACCACTTTCGGCCAAGCCAAGCGACTCTTTAGCTCTTTTGAGTCTATTTTCTTTCTGTTGCGGTGTAAGTTCTTGCACTTTTTTGAATTTCAATGGCTTTACCCCGAGCTCATATTTCAATGTTTGCCGAAAGGAATATTGCGACATGTTTAGCTCACGAGCAATTTTTCGGCCTCTGTGACGCGGGTTTCGATCAAGTCGCTTCTTTACTTTCCGAACCATTTCTGCTGATGTTGCTGTTTTCTTCCGTCCACTTCCTTGACGTCGGGCTACGCTACCAGTATTAGGGTAACGAGCGATGGTACGAGACACAAAAGATTTATTCACATTTAAATGCTGGAGTGCTCTAACGATAGCCACTTGTGGTTTTCCAGCCAAATATAAAGAAATCACACGATCACCCTTAAATTCCGCCACGAATAACTTTTGTTCTGGAAAATTCTCACCAAAATGCTTTTGTACGCTTGTAATCAATATATAAGAATAACTTTAACAGCTGTCAGACGAGTGGATTAGAAATGACAGCATTCGTATAACGATCCTGTAGTATTATGATTTGTTCATGATCTAATCATTAGGTCCCTACCAAGGTAAGCTGCAAAGACCTAAAATGGTAAAGACTAGACAAAATGCATTTTGAGCAAATGGTTTGTGTCTACAATACACGGAGTAACAGCTCATGTCAGAGACATGTTAATATAAAAGCCGCAATTACAGAAACGAATAACAATAAAAATTTGAAAAACAGAAAATTTTGGTTTTAAAATTTTATTCCATAGACCTTTCCAAAAATTTGCACGCTGTCTTAGCGGTCTAAATCAGTTAACATTAGTAGCTATGTTGTTATGATATCGTAACAACAGAGGTATTTTGACAGGGTTGCCATATTTTGACTCTGTCTTGTCCTATCTTTACACTTCTATGTCTTTGTAAAATTTTTCAAATTTTTATTGTTATTCGTTTCTGTAATTGCGGCTTTTATATTAACATGTCTCTGACATGAGCTGTTACTCCGTGTATTGTAGACACAAACCATTTGCTCAAAATGCATTTTGTCTAGTCTTTACCATTTTAGGTCTTTGTAAGCTGATTTTCATATAAAAAGTATGTTTAAATACAAAGTTTAACCAAGAGGAACCGTGAAATTTTACCCTTCAGAATACAGCATGCTAAAAGTATACTCATGGTTAAATGCTGCAAAAAACTGTGTGTAAACGTTCTATAAATGTCAGAATGCATTATTGTGATTGAAAATGCTTATCGTGATTAAAATCGCTGTGAGAAGGACAAAGAAACTGTAAACAAAACGACCACACATTTTGTAATTTACTGAGAGCATGACTCGCTTATTAGGTCATCTAATAAAACCAACTGATTTCAGATATTTTATCAAAATACATGCATTTGATAAATTAACTTTTAAAAACATAAACAAAAATGCTAACACTGTGATCACAATAGTAGTTTTTCGTTTTTCTTACACTACCTTATTCAAGGCCCTTGACTGATAGTTTGATTATTATTATTGCTTTGTTTCAGAACCTGCAAGAATCTACTAGTTTTGCAATTTATTTTCGATATCATAAAGGAAAAACCAGTTATCTTTGTGAAAAGTTTCATATTCTTGCAGTTCTGGAACAGAGCATATTGTGGACTGTTTCAATGGTCTCACTCAAAACTTACCCAATGCTTCTTCTTGAAATTCCGTGCTATACGATGTAATTGATGAACTATCATAATTTATCATTGATCGATATGTTTGTAGTGACATTTCTGAATTTTTCATTTCTACAATCATATTTCCACAATTAACTTCCACCCTCGAATCGTCATCATCTAAACGTGATATTATTTCTTCATTTTCTTGACATTCCAGCATATGAATGATGGGATCTTTGACATTTATTGGCAAATGTTGGTTGGTATCGTTTATATTTAAAACCAATGGAGTTTCTATACCATCATTGGGAACACAGCATTGTACAGTAATTGGTACAGACAGCGGGTTCATTAGAAGTACCAAACGTTTTTGTGGCACACAAACTGGTACAATGTCCAAATCGATGATGTCGGGAAAACATTTGACACGGACTTGCTGGGAGACACCTCTGCAATAAAAGTTAAAAGATTAAGCAAGTAATTTTGAAAATACCGAAAACTTGATAAGTTGATGCTTGGCGTCTTAACGATAAAGTACATTTACAGTACTGACCAACCCCAGATTTTTTTATCGAATTATATATATTGTGATTGGTCACGTAAACAAACATCAGCTGAGAGGCATTTGTATTCTCCTTATGGTGTATGTATATATATAAGGTAAATCCACTTGGTTTAATAGATCTGGGGATTGGGATAGTTCCAATTACGTTCAACTGACGTTTGTTTCAATTGGATCAAATCCAATAATTAACCAATATACCATTAGGTTTAGTGGTTAAATTCAATAATTGACCAATCACAATAAATATAAATGTTGAGATGGTCAAGGGCTGCCATGGTAGAAAAATATAGGTAGACGGGTCGACACAGCTGCTAGGACAATGAACTGTCAAACAAATTTTAGAATTGAAAATGTTGAATGAAATTAAAAAAAAAATACAAATCTACTTATATTTGAAAAACATTAATTTTTTTTTGACATATCAATGTTTCCAAGCGTTAATGTATCTACCTGTATTCTTCTACCATGAGAGCTGCCCTTCTAGAAATGGAGAATTCGACAACTTTTAAATGGACCATCGACTTAAGTTATTTTTTCCAGTCAAAGTGACAGTAATTTAGTAATTTAAACCAGCGGTGCTCAAAACCGTGTTCTAGAACATGAAGAGAAAAAAGAGATAATTTAAGAGAAAATTAAAATTCTGTTTTTCTTTATATTTTACGGTTCTATTTAATTGTTTTTAAACACGAATGTTTGCCAAAATAATTTATAAAGCAAATGGATAAAAAATATTTGTATAAATAATGACTTAACACTGTTTTGTTCTTGATTTAAATAAGCAAAGACTGAAAAGAGATATTTCTTCTTGAGCACCCCTGTTTAAACCAGCCTTGTACACAAAATATATAAAATGTAGTCGTAAGAGACACTCTCGTCCTGCTAAATTAATGAAAATTTCGAGAGAATATGTGTGCTTTGTTTCTACTTTTTCATTCGAGGCGGCCCATATCTTGAAACTTTTTTTCTGAAGAAGAAATGTTAACAAATACATCTATAACATTACCTTATTAAAGTGGTAAAGAAATTTCCATTTCTCACTTTAAATTGCAAGGTGATCAAAAATTTGCCCACAACTTTAGCAAAAAATTGCAAATTGAATATGGCACTCTGACAGGGTTTCAAATCATAGCCACCTGCAGGTGTAATCACAACGCTTGCTTCATCATGACTAATAAAGTCATAATAATCTACATGACATTCAGAGAGACCTATGAAATCAGCAAAATGAGCAATTATTTACCTAGAGGGATTTTCTCACTCACCATCAACATTGAGAACCTTAATGCTGGCGCATTGTTCCTCACCGAAATAGACATTGCGAAAATCAATACATTTCGGAATAATTTCAATATCAGGACCATTTATAAAACCTTTCACTTTTATTGACTTGTATTCAGCTCTCATCCCATCTTGGGCTTTAATGGACAAATTTGTTTCAACTGAAAATGGAGGGATTTCTAGTTGGGAACAAAAGTTTTCATGCATTATGGGACGAAAGGTGATGTTAATCAACTGCGATAAATTCGGCGAGAGAGTCCCACAGTTGGGATGAAGTTGAAAGTGTCTCCATGGATATTTATCAATAATTTTATTATTTTCTTTGGACATAATTTCATAGCAGTTGTCTTCAGTATTTTCGAGAAAAAGTGCCTGAAATTTGATGGTTTTATTCGAATCATTACATATGCGAAATGACTTGGACGTATTTCTATCGAATTTAATGGCATCGAATTGAATATGTATGGTGTCTGGAAAAAGACTCCACTGCATAGGCTGGTGGACAAATGCAACTTCAAATGTTTCTGAAATAGAAAAACACAATTAGAATCTGTTCCATTATGACAATATGAAAGTGCATGCGAAGGAAAAGTCAAAAGTCGGGCGGGGCCGACTACATGTTACCCTACACCACTATGCATATTTAGTAGAGCTTCCGTAACAAAATAATTTATTTGAAGTATATCATACCACCTATCGACATTTGGCTTTAGAGCAGTTATAGTTTGGTTTTAGAGGGAACTAATATATGGGAGGCATATTCAATTCGGAATCGATTTTCAACAAATTTGACGGTGACATATTTATCTTTTATACCAAATAACATTGCTATAGAGTGCATATTATGACTTCGAGAAGGATTAAGGATATTTAGGAGCTGTATCCAAATCTTATCCGATGTCGATAAAATTTGGCAAAGGTATTTCCGAGGTCTATAAGATATCTGGTACCAAATATCATTCTTGTGGACTGCATATTACGCATGTGAAGGACTTAAAACCCCAAATCAGATGAAACATATATATGGGAGCTATAGCTATATCTGAACCGATTTTCTCCAAATTCGATGTACTTGCTTCTAGATTGAATTCGGTCGAATGTACCAAAATTTAGGACATTTGGACTGGTATTGGCCATTTGGTGCACAATTAACACGAAATCGGTTGAAGATATATATGGGAGCTATCTCAAAAACTTAAAACCCCAAATCGGATGAAACATATATATGGGAGCTATAGCTATATCTGAACCTATTTTCATTAAATTTTATTTACTTGCTTCTAGACTGAATTCGGTGGGATGTACCAAAATACAGGTCATTTGGACTTATATTAGCCATTTGGTGCACAATTAACCCGAAATCGGTTGAAGATATATGGGAGCTATAACTAAATCTGATCCGATTATCACCAATTTCAATAGGGTTCGCCCTTGGGCCAAACAAATAATGTTTGGAAAATTTCATCTCAATCGGATAATAAATGCGATCTGCATTTTGTTCACAATAATACATGGGCGGACGGACGGACTGACATACTACGACTCAGAAAGTGTTTCTATGATCGTCAAAAGTAACTATGGGTCTATCTCACTTCCTTGTCCCTGCTACAAACAAATGCACAAAGACATAATACCCCTACCACTATGTGGTTCAAGGTATAAAAAGGATCTTAATTTAGGTTAGTCTGGATGTATAGAAATCTTTACAAGAATTTGTAAAATGTAACAAACATAAATTTGAAAAAAATATTTTAAATTTTAATTTAAAGCTAAACTATTAAACTCAAAGATAATTTACAATTTTAAGCATACATTTGAAAGCTGAGGACAGGAATCTTGCGTAATAATTTCCGTAAACACAACTTACCCGAACCAAATTTGTATTTGATAACATCGCTAACTTCAGTAAAAGCTTTACAGGCCAGTTTTAACAATATTGTGCAATAATCACGTTTAGGAATAGTTAAATTAGGCACAAAAAGAGTCAGATGAGAGTTAGTTCTGCGAATAAAAAATGTTGATGAAAACATTACCAAAATCTATTGAAATATCGAAACTTACCCTTTCACATTGAAAGACGTCTTCTCCGAATTTCCATTATACAAAACAAGTTCATAAAATGTAAAACTACCCACAGAGGTTGAAGGAAATACAAGCAGTTCTGGTATACTCGGCACCTCTATTTTATGTGCACCCAATATAATGATGGGCAATTCGAATTTCAAATTCGGATGTTCTGCTTCAATGAAAATGTGACGTCTACGATTAATATTTAACTTTTTCGTTGGTTTCAGGCATATTGATAATTGTACGGTTTGTTCAGATTCCAGAAAGTTGTCCATTAGATTTTCAGGATTAGTACTAATGGAAATATCCTCAGAATCGGTGGTGTATAGCAAACGACGGTTGTGCTAATAAAATAAAAATAAAATGTTAGTTTAATAGAAGTATATCCTTTTTAGCAATCTTACCAATCCCTCATTTTTAATTGTTATCAAACTTTCATAACAGCTTCCAATTTTTAGCGAGTTTTTGTATATTACAACCCTTGGTAAAATTTTTAATGTATTGACAAGAGTACATTTGCTATTGATGTAATCTGAAAGTTTGCCAAAAATAGTTAATTATTAATTGATTTTGCTAGCGGATCATAAACTTACATTGTTTCTGTGCACAACAATAAGTTTCAAGGCGTTTTGTTAGCGCTACGTCTTCTTTTGTTTCAATGTGTGACATGTTTAAAATAAAAAAATGTTTTCAAAAATAGCAGTGATAACAGACAACAAAATCAAAATTCCTTTTCGTTTCTATTGTGAATTGTCGTTTTCATTACATTTGCTTTGTTCCAGTAGTAGTACGATTCTATAAGTCATTTTTTGAGTTACCGACAAACATCTTTAAAATTAAAATACTCATAATTTGAACGAAAAATTTTCGACAGGTTAGCGACTAAATCATAGAAGTCTAAAAGTTCTACCGATAGTAACGGTGCTGTTACCGTTAATTTCGACTTGTCATTCAAAATTTTGCGTCTTAATGTTACCGATATTCGATGGTAACTCAAAAAAGTCAGATTCCCACTACAGAACTTGAAATGACTATATATGTTTATTATGATAACCGATATTACCTTTATAATATTCAAAAAATAGTACAAATAAGTTATATGTTGCAGAAGAAGCATTGTGTTTCCAAAAATCACTACTAACCAATCGATATAAATAAGACTATTGAACATGGCAGAAGAATATAGGTAGACGTATCGACACAGCTGCTGAGACAATGCACTGTCAAACCAATTTTGAATTGGAAATATTAAATGAAAAATTATTTAAATGTTTAAAAATTGTTAAAAAAACACGAATTATAATAACCTCCGAATGACGTCGTATAAGAAAACATATAAAAATCTACTTATATTTTAAAAACATTTAAAATTTTTTGACATATCAATACTCCCAAGCGTTGATGCATCTACTATTGAAAACACAAATCGCATAAAGTGCGATTAATCAACTATATGTAAACGGTTCTCAATCCAATCAGTTTGATGTGTTGCCATGAAGTATTGCACATTGTATGTTATCGAAATTAAATCGATTAATCTACAAACGATTGCTGGAATTCTGTTGGAGCAGCACGAGCTGTGGGATTTTCTTCACTATTTTTGTTTATTCCAAAGGAATTTTACCAAAAAATCAATTATATTAACTTTATTCTTACAAAACAAATGTTCCTTTGTTAAAACCAGTGAGTAATAAAAATGTCTCAACTAATTAAACCTGGTAAGACAACTAAAAGTTCCTGCATTTCCAAGTGATTTGTTGTATAACCATAACGTTTCTTTTTTATGTTATTGCCGGTCCATAACCACACAGAACTCTTCCACCAGCTGAAACGCAGTAATCCTCTTTTGCAATTCCAACGTTTTCGGGCAAAAATCAATATCCAACGACCCCGCCAACCTCATTATGAAAGGGCCCGAGTAATAGCCGTCACAACACCCCGCTATCCAGAACCACCAAAAACCACGAATTGTTTTGAAAAGAAATCACGAACGGTACAAGAAAATCCCTACAATGACATCATTGCCCGTGAGGTCTACAATTGGCTAAACAACTCCAAGATGGTTGGTATCTTCCACATAAACTCCATCAAATCGGATGATTACTTTGATGCTCGTGTCTTGCTGCACAAACAAAACATGCAATTGAAACAATATGGTCAGAAAATCATACGTAAAGCTGTGGAAGGCAACCGTTTCGAGGCTATATTGCCGCTATTCGATGCCCAAACATGTCTGTTGTTTTCTCCCGAACCCAGGGTATCACAATTGCTAAAAATTACCCGAAAAATTCCACAAATGCTTCTCTTAGCTGGCATTGTTGATGATACATTACTTAGCCGCAATGAATTTATGCAATATGCTCAAATGCCTGGCCTGCAATCGGCTCAAGCTGAGCTTGTACAGACACTAAATATGGCCGGCACAACGTTGGTACAAAATCTGGAGGCACATCAAAAGAATTTTGTAAATATTTTGGATGTTTATGCTAAGAGTGATAGTGAAAGTAGCGACGCCGCTAGCAAACCAGCAGCAACATCGACAACAAATAGTGAAGAGAGTAAAAATTAATTATTTCTAATGTGTTAAATTGTTACAAAATAAAATCATAAAGAAATTACAAATGATTAAATGGATTCAATATGCTGATTGTGTGAATAACAGCAAGGACCAGAAATCCGATAATAGTGAGTATGTAAACATGTAGAAAAGTGACCCGTAGAAAGTAAATTTTACAGCCATCCATTACAAAGAAAAGGTATTTAGACGCATTCGCAAGACAACATTTGCAGGTTAATTCCCAAATTTGTGAGAACATAAATGAATATACGGAGCTTAAAAAATGTGCTTATTACCGACAAGAGACCGGCTATAATTTTTTACATAGTTTGTATCCCCATATTATAGCTTTTTTAAAGATCCGATTAAAATACTGATTTTTTCATACCACCACTTGTTTGATAGGCATTTTGATAAGCATGGTGTGTTATAATGATTCGAGCACAGTCCATAAACTTAAATTGTAACACATAGTTGTGGCTTGCTCGGAAGACTTAAACATTCTGTTAATATCGTCCCATAGGATTTTTATCAATATAGTCTGGTAAAAATTCTTACGTGGAAAAAGTCAACAATTTTTATTAGATAGAAATACACCGGCCAGACATGCAAGGTAAGACCTTCATTATCTAGAGATATTAAAAAAGGTCATCTAAATCGAAAGGACTATCAAGGAGGACTGAGTGGTATTCACTCTAATGCGGTCACAGAAGTCATGGAGGAATGAAGAGTGAATACCGTAGTCGGGAATCAACCCCCTTCTATCGCAGCTGAAGAACGAGAGCTGCCTCGACAAACCTGAGTAGTTTTAGTACAATGGAGGTCCGGATGGTGCAGCCGAATCAATTCGCATCCTACACACCTAACTCCTGCATCACTAAGGGCCCAACCTATACAAGTAGCTTTATTTTGAATTAGGAACTAAGACAAAATCAAAAAATTTAGGACATATCCTCGCAAATTATCTCTTTTATATTTGTTTAAGTTTTATTAGGTATCTAACACAATATTGTACGAATGGTAAAATTAGTGGATTCTTGTATGTTTTGAAACACTGATCGGTAAAATTTAAATCCTTCAATAAAGCCCTCAACCAGAACCTATTCAAATTCTAGACCATGATGTCCCAAATATTTGCTTAGCTTTATTTTGGTTGTTTCTTTTCAATTTTCCTTACCTGTTTTTTTTCTACCCTCCACCATAGTATGGAGGGTATATTAAGTTTGCCATTCCTCGAAATATACATTTTAGACCCCACAAAGTATATATATTCTTGATCAGCTTATAATTCAATGCCAATTTGGCGATGTCCGTCCGTCTGTGGAAATCACTCTATCTTCCGAACGAAATGAAGTAGGTTGATAAAATTTTACTGAAATGTATTTATGTCTGCAGGTCTTTTTGTATTAAAAATGGACCATGTAGGTGCACGTTTAAGCATAGCCCCTATACATGATTTAAACTATATTATTCACCGGAAATGTTTCAAATTTGGTATTAGAAGTTCGTAATGGATACTATAGACTATGACAAAATCCATGCCTTCGTATAGCTCCATATAACGATACCTCCCGATACTCGGTATTTTGATGATTTTAGCGACATTATTCACCGGAATTGTTTCAAATTTGGTATTTGAAATTCATAATGGATACTAGCCTATGACAGAAAATTGTCTGAGCAGATCCACATTTTGGTATAGCCCCCATATAATTGTACCTCCCTATATTATTATTATTATTCACCGAATTTTTTTTTTTCAAGTTTCGCATTTGAATATTTTAATAGCTTATGACAAAGGTTACCTATGCATGTCCACGACTTCGCATAGACTCTAATATAACGGCTACATTCGGTATTTTTAAGATTTTAACAAAATTTTTAACGGATTTCATTTTTTTGAAAATTGCCAAATTCGTTCCAAATGGTGTAGGGTATTAACTTGTTTTTAATATCCTCTCCGGATTAACACTACAATTTGCTGTTAATATCATCTAAATATATATTTGATTTAAACATTTGTCTTAAAAATTTATTCAACAATTAAAATAGAATTTTTTTTTTGTTTTCTTTAAAACTGCACTTTAAATATACAGAGAGTGAGATTTTGTATAAGTAGTATGTATGTAAGTATGTCTTCCGCACTTTATTCAAAAAGAAACCACAGTGCTGGAATGCTTTTGTCTTGTAATCGAAGTAGTTTGTTTGGTAATTGTTACAATAGAAGTACTTTTGGTTTTGTATCCATTTCATTTCCATTAAATCTAAATGCTTTTTTGGGTGACTTTTTGATTGAACAAGTGTGTGTGTGTGTGTGTCTGTGTGCATGTTTAGGAACTTATTGCATTTAGGGGTCGTTGAAATGTACAACCCGCCGTAACATTTGCATCCAACATACGTTGTCGACAATTAAAGGCCAAATTTGCTAATGCCTCAGCAGCATCCAGTTCATCTTTGTGATGTATGGAATTGTAAATATGTTCGTTTTCCAGCTGCTGCTGCTGAAGATGAGAATTTGTTGTATTTGGTGAATTTGTTATTTGTACTGTGGCTGGTGTTGTGGAATATAAAATTGGAACAACTGTAACCGAGGTCTGTTGCGCGTCGCCATTGTTTGGATTTGATACTGGAAATGATTTTGTTGTCGTTGTCACCAATAGAGGTTTTTTGTCATTTTTATTTCTATAATTAAATCAAATGGAAGATTAATTTTTTTAATTAATAAAAGGGAAAGCAGATTAGTTTACCTTTTACTATTCCACTCTATGAAATAGTTATTTTTATTTGGTGTAAATTTCGCTGCACTTTCCAACCACTTGGATAACTCGGCCCCCGATTTGATAATTGTTGTATTCGACCCATTACAATATACAGTGGCGGTGGCATGTTGAGGATTGTCTGTCGATGTTTGTTGGTCATTAAACCCAATATGGACCATGGTGGAATTAATGGGTGTACTATTGGTATCATAGGTATCTCTTAAATATTTTTCCATCATTTTTTGTTTGTATTTTGTTTTGGTTCCCACATTGGCTGCACTCTGTGTTATTTGACAACTGGCATTGGTTGTAAGGACATCAACCTCCCGTCCTATAAATAATTCACTGGGATCCTTGTGTAGAGCCATTGCATTATTTATGTTATAGATATTCGTTTTATGATTAACTCCCGTCATGTGAATGCCTCCTTCCTCGCCTCCAAAACCACTACTTATTGTACTGCTCCCCGTACCATTACGCTCGGTGGTGTCTGTGGAACCTCCACTCGATCCATCTATATCACACATTGAATCTAAATCATCATCTTCATTCTCATTATCACTACGATGATGATGATGACGTCTATACTGCTGTTCTTCCTCCTCCCATATACTATCCTCAGATGATATACTAAATTGTTCGACATTACCTTTGGCATTTGTATTGTAGTTTTTTATCAGATGACCCCAGGATTTTTTTGATTTTTCTCTTTCGGCATTTTTAAGTTTTCGACGCCAATTGGCAAACCAATTGCAGATCTGTGTGTACGTCAGGCCAGTATCAATGGCCAAGCGTTTTTTCTCATCTCTACTGGGGTAGGGATTTTCACGTCTTCGAACTAACCATTCTTTGAGCATACGTTTGATTTCTGGGGTAAACAGACGTTTGGCTGCCCGTGGATAATGAAGATCATCTTCTGGTGGCCAGGCACGTCTGAAATGGAAAAGGAAACCAAGGATTATAATTGTTGTAGGGAAAGATTTAGAAACAAACAACACAAAAAAGCTTAAAATGGTTCAGGCATATTAGTTCGATCACGGAGAATGAAATACAACTTCTCAAACGAAAGGGTCTATTAGTTGATCCTGTTAAAGCAATGTCTAGCAAGGATTAAGACACAGAAACTTTAAATATAAAAGATCCTTCTAGTAAGCATAACAATACTTTTGATCTGTTCCAGAACTGCAAGAATGTGAAACTTTTTAGTATGATAACCGATTTTCCCCTAATGATATCGAAAAAATTGAAAAATTAGTAGATTCTTGTAAGTTCTGGAACAGAGCATTAATTTTAAAGCAAAAAACAGCACAAATTATTTTCAAATGCAACAGCAACAATAACAAAACATTATTATAAACAAAAAAAAAAATCCAAAATATGATCAATGTCTCGTGACCCACCTACTGTGACGACGATTGCGTTGTGGTCGATTTGGTTTCTCCATCATTGCAATCTTTGGAAAGTTTCTTATTTGGCGAACTTTAAAAAATTAAAAAAAAAAACAATTATTTTTTTATTATTAATTTTCATAATTTATGACAAAAACATTAAAGCTATTTCCCCTAGGTGTTAGAAAAAATTATAAAATTTTCACTGAATCATTTTTTCATTTTCTTTCTAGACCAAAAAAAAAAACATTTAACACTTTAGAAAATATTTGAACAATAAAAGAAAAAAGGAATCACCATAAAAAGATTTCAAAACTTCGCGTAGGTGGTTTTATTTTGATTTTCATCAATGCGACTATGTGTATGTGCTCAAATGAGGGCACTTATCTCTCATGCTGCTCTCCAAACAACGGAAAAAGAAAAAAAACTTCCACAGCACCCCCTAACAGTCATGTGAATAAGGCAGCCACCAGTTGTAATTAAGACTACACTGGTCTACAGGGAAAATTTAACCAAATCTACAGCTAATATTGTGAAATTTTAAAATTATGGTGTTTTTAAAAGTCATTGGGATTTTTAAAAACTTTCTTAATCAACTTTAAGATTATCCGGACCATCAAGATTGATACATTGGACTTTTTTTATTTCATAGAATAGAACATGGAACAGAAACATTATTGTGAATTTTTAAGGACTTTGAGGATCATCAGAGCTTTATTCGTAGATTTTAGAAGAATACTTTACAAGGAACCAAAAAAAATCAAATGGTTCACTTTTAAGGAATATCTTTTAGAAAACCTTAGGAACTGAAATCGTGAAAATGTAAGCATATTTACCCAAGTGTCAACAAATGAGCTAAAATCGGGAAGTTTAAAGAATAATTCCTTTTTCGTTCCATAATTGCTGGAACGCTACCATATTTTTCACCACCATGTACGCTACAATCGTTGATTTTTATACCCTCCACCACACATAGTATGGAGGACATATTAAGTTCATCATTCCGTTTGTAACTCATCGAAATAGGAATTTTAGACTTAACAAAATATATAAGCTCGATCAGCGTAACATTCTAAGACAATTTTGCCCGTCCGTCAGACCGTCTGTTGTAATCACGTTAGAGTCAAAACGAATAAAGATAAGACGCTAAAATTTTGCACAGATCAGTCTTTTGTCGGTCCACGATATCGTATAGACCCCATATAACGGTACCTCCCGATATTTGGTATTTTGATGATTGTAGCCAATTTTTCGATGAAATTGTCTGAAAATTCACAAAAGGAGTTCGATCCGAGTACTTTACCCCCTGAAAGAATATTGTCTAGATAGGTCGATGATATCGTTTATCCCCCATATTAAGGTAAATCGCTATATTCGGTATTTTGATAATTTTAGCTATATTTTTCAATGGAATTTACTTGAAATTCATACTAGAAGTACTTTCTTAGCACTATACTTCATGGAAGAGAAATATCTATATAGGTCCATGATATCGTATAGCCCACATACAGCGGTATCCCCCGATATTCGATATTTTGACGATTTTAAGGACATTATTCACCGGAGTAGTTTCAAATTTTGTATTTAGAATTTGTAACAAAATATTGCGTATGCAGACTCATGTCCATATAACTGTACCTCCCATATTCGGTATTTTCATGATTTTAGCGATATTATTCACTGGAGTTGTTTAAAATGTCGTATTTAAAGTTCCTAATGGGTACTTCAACCTATAACAGAAATTTGGCTATTCAAGTCCACGCCTTCGCATAGTCCCCATATAATGAATGGTACCTTCCTAAATTCGGTATTTATACGATTTTAACGGCATTTTTCGTCGGAGTAGTTTCAAATTTCGTATTTGAAATTCGTCCAACAGCCTGTGACAGAAAACTGAGGATGCAGGTCCACGCCTTCGTATGGCCCCCATACATAGCATTATTTACAGGAATTGTTTCAAATTTCGAATTCAAAATTCGAATGTAGACTGTGAAGGAAAATGTTCTATTCAGATTCAGGTGTATATAACCCCTATATAACAATACCTCCCTATATTTAGTATTTCGATGATTTTAGCGACATTAATTACCGGAATTGTTACAAATTTCGTATTTGCAGGTCGCAACGGATACTACAGCATGTTACGGTAAATTGTCCATTTAGGTTTTTAGGTGTTCGTACATGGGGCTGTTCTATACCTATTTGATATTTTGATAATTTTAGTAAAATTATTCACCGGCATTATTTCAAATTTCGTATTTGAAGTTCGTAATGGGTACTACAGCCTGTGACATAAAACTACGTACGCAGGTCTACATCTTCATAGAGCCTCCATATGGTACCTCCCTGTACTCGGTATTTTTATTTTCTTTAATTTCCAAGTTCCTTCTAAATGGTGGAGGGTATTTAAATCCCGGCCAAACTTATTGCATTTTTACTTATTTTTTTTTTAATTGTTTCATTCCCTCATGTTTAGGAAAACAAAAAATCGACCCCCCGTTTTCTTGACGAGTTTTTTCCTTGTTAGCACTTGTAATCTTTCTTTTTGCAAAAGAGTGGTAGGAACATTTCGCATGGTATCCTCACCAAACGTTTGCTCGGTTACTGGACTTTTTGTTAACTTAAATATGTTTATAAATAAAACCCCAAAAAATACTATTTTTGAAAGTGTGTTTAGGATTCAAGGAACTGATTTATATGTTGAAGAAAATATAGGATGTATCATGGATTCATTAGACCTCAAGTTAATGAAGCAGTGGCCCTTTTACTTTTTTAATTTTTTTCTTTTGTTCCCTCCCCCATTTTGTAGCACTGTGTCTGAGAATGAGGTGTTTATAGTGGTAACACAAATTTCTATTCCAAATATTGAATGTTAAATTTAAACAAAAAATACAAATCTCGAAAATATTTAGACTCTTTCCGCAATACAAAGAGCAGAAGAGAATGGCAAATGTTTACTAACGATTTTCATGTTTTTCAATATAAACAAAGAAGAAGACAAATGTTTAAGAAAAAAAGTTTAAGAAGAAAACATGTATTTTGTGATCTAAATTCAAATGGCAAAAGAAAAGAGTAGCGAAACAAAAAACATGAAAAGATAATGAGAGAATGTGAAAATGTGAGGAAAACCACCTTACGCTGAGAATAATTTTAAAAACTATTTTAGATCTGATTTTTTTGTTTCGTATCGTTTTTGATGACATTTGTTTTAGTGTCGTCGTTGTGTTTTTGTTTAACGATCGTTCTATTAATTCGTTTGATGGCCTTCTTTCAGAATGAAAAGCGACATAATGATGAACAGAAAAAAAATACATGAGCTGATAAGTTCAGGGCCTAAAACGTATATACATACATACATATGTATTTGGAACATGTTATTTTAATGATATCTAGGGGAAATTGTGAAAACCCTTTTTATACCCTCCACCATAGTATGGAAGGTAAATTATGTTTGTCATTCCGTTTGTAACACCTCTTGATCAGCATAAAATTCTATGTCGATTTATCAATGTCCGTCCGTCTGTGGAAACCACTCTAGCTTCCGAACTAAATGGAGTAGGTTGATGAAATTTTACTCAAATGTGTATTATGTCTGCAGGACTTTTGGTATTGATAATGGTACCTCCCTTTTTCGGTATTTTGGTGATTTAAGCGACATTATTCACCGGAAATATTTAAAATTTGGTATTTGAAGTTCGTAATGGGTACTACAGCCTATGACAGAAAATTGTCTGTGCAGGACCACATCTTGTTATAGCCCCAATTCACCGGAATGTTTCAAATTCGGTATTTGAAGTTCCTAATGGATACTACAGCCTAAGACAGAAAATTTGGTATTTGAAGTTCGTAATGGATACTACAGCCTATGATAGAAAATTGTCTGTGCAGGTCCACGTCTTCGTATAGCCCCCATATAACGGTACCTCCCTGTATTCCGTATTTTGATGATTTTAGCGACATTATTCACCGGAATTTTCTTTTTCAAGTTTCGCATTTGAATATTGTTATCGCTTATGACAAAAGTTGCCTATGCACGTCCATGTTGTCGTATAGACCCTCATATAACAGCTACATTCGGTATTTTTAAGATTTTAACAGATTTTTTTTATCGGATTTCATTGTTTTTGAGAATTGCCAAATTCGTTCCAAATGATGGAGGGTATTCAAAGTTTGACCCGGCCGATCTTACAGCTTTTTTACTTGTTTTATATATCTTTAGGATATCGGCAAATAATGCAACTATTTTTTTATTTATGAAAATAATGCAAATACTTTGTTTATTCATGTTTTATTTTTTCCGACAGAGACGAATCCTTTTTTTAAACGTTTTTTTATATTTTAACGATAGTTGCTAATAATGCAAATGTTTTTTAATTAATGAGTTTTGGGCTCTGAGCCTACCGGGAGCGTGCATCTTTGCTTTTTCGATGGTATTATATTTTTGTTATATATATTCACACTTTTTTTTTTTTTTTGAAATAAATTGGAAATATCTTTTGTGTAAAATTGCTTTTCGAACAATAACTCACACACTAATGAAAAGTGTGCTGGAATTCACATTTCCCACCTGAAAGTTTATAGCCCATGAGTTACATATTTATTGCACTATTCTTATTTAAACAAACAAAAGAAACAATTATTAAAATATATTTTGAAATAAAAAATACATATATTCAATTAAATCAGCTGCATTTCGTTTCGTATTTGAGGAAGTGTTTTCAGTAAGACGAAGGTGATTTTTTTTTGTTTGATTTCCTTTCTTTTGGTTTTCAATATGATTTTTATTCTGAAATTTCTTTTCAATAAAATGACATTGACCAGTCACTTAGGATAGTCATGTTTTTTTCCTGTTTATTATATAATGGACATGTATGTACATAAAAAACTCATACTTGTCATGGTGTTTTTGTTTAATATTTTTTATTCAAATTTCAGTATTTTTCCTCCATAAAAAATCTTTTGTAACACACACCTTATTGGATTTTATCGTTTCACTTAAAACTTTTCACCCGTCATATAAATTATGTTTTTTTTTCTTACAAATTTATTTTCTTTTATATTTTTATGTTTTTTTTTTTTTTTTGAAAATTTTCAATTCCCAAGAAAGCAACCGTTTGGTTCGACAATCACAATCAGACTACTCGCCACCAAGATTTTCTTGTATTTTCAAAATATTTTCTTTTGTCCATTTTTTTGGTTTCTTTTCAAAAATTCGTACAACAACAATGAAAACACACAAAAGAAAAACACTCTCCGTGGTGATCAAGAGGAAAACAATTTCACGTTGTGTTTTTTTTCAATATCAGTTTTTCTTTTTTTTTTTAAAGATATTCGAATAGATTTTTTAATGATAGATCTTCTCCCGTGTATTTAGCAATCAGATAGTCAAGCACATGCACACATACATATGTGGGTGGGTATGTGCACATGTACATTAGGTGTACAATTTTGAGGATTAATTTAAAATTGAAGAAAATTATTTAAATTTGGAGATCCCTAAGAAATCGGACAAAATTCTTGCAATAAGAAGGTCCTCATATCTATAGGTATTCCCAGGGGTATATAAAGTTCGTCATTCCGTTTATAACTCATCGAAATAATAAATTTAGACCCCACAAAGTATATATAGATATTCTTGATCAGTAATTTATAATTTAATAATTTATAATAAAGCCTATGACAGATAATTGTCTGTGCAGGTCCACGTCTTCGTATAGCCGCAATATCGCGGTACCTCACAATATTCGGTAGTTTGATTATTAAAGCTAAATTATTCACTGGAATTGTTTTAGATTTCGTATTTGAAGTCCGTAATTTATACTACAGGAAAACAATTTCACGCCTATGACAAAAAATTTTCTGTGCAGGACCATGTCTGCGTATAGCCGCAATATAGCGGTACCTCCCTATATTCGGTATTTTGATTATTTTAGCTAAATTATTCACTGGAATTGTTTCAGATTTCGTATTTGAAGTTCGTAATGGATACTACAGCCCATGATACAATGATATCAAGGTAGGGCTATGATACCATATGATTTTAATTTTTTATTTTCTTGACTTAATATGTCATCTTTATTTGTTTATGTATGTGTTTTATTTTCAATAACAAAAAAATTGTTTAGAAAATATTCAAATTCGGGTGTTTTCAAAATGTTTATTTCATCGTATGCATCAACAAAATCTAGAGTTTTTGTAGCGAAATAATCCTTTAGAGATATATAGAACATGGTTTTGAAAAGAACTGTTGACCTTTCATTCAGTTATCTCGGTTTTCAATTATTTATTCAAAATAAATGCAACAAGTTGTTTGATTTTTTATTGTTTTGATACTAATTCTGACATTACAAGCCAAACAGGTAGACCTCTATACTTGCAATTTTTTCAAAGTTGGCCTACCTTCTATTCATTGTACCATGCTACAGCCTATGACAGAAAATTGTTTGTGCCTGTCCACGTTTTGGTATAGCCCCCATATAATGGTACCTCCCTTAGCTACTTTTTTACTTGTGTTATGAAAGATATGTAGATTTTCTCATAGAAGATCTATACATTTACTCAAAGAATATCTAGAAAATATATAAAATATTTTTAGATCGTGACATAAAAGTGCTTAAGACATTTGTGGAAAAGTGCACTTAACATAATACTCTAACATTGTGTGTAATCTGTAGTATTATTTTTTTTTGTGTGCGCCTAATGTACACACCTACAAGATCTTGTTCGTAAAAGAAAACTAAACAATTATCAATAAGAAAAATCTGAAATAGGTCAGCGAAATAATGAACCAAACTGCAATTTTGGTAATGATTTCCATTATAAGTGTGTGTGTGCTACCATTTGTATGTGTGTGTTTGGAATGAAATCTTGACTTTTCAATAACCGATTTTTTAAATTTCATACAAAGTATGATTAACATTAGACCCCACGTATTAGTGTAGGATATAAACTTTGGGTGATAAAATAATTTTTCTTTCAGTAATGACCACTTTCTCTCTCTCACACACACACTTACCCTCATTTACTACATTTGTTGATGATTTTGACCATGATATAATTTAAAATGTGATTTTTGTTGTATATTTCGTATTTGTCACAAACATCACATGCAGAAACAACAAAAATAAACTAAGATGTGTTAATCTATGTCTTCTATTTAAACAATAAAAACAACTTGGAGAAATGGTAACTAAACAGTTAATCCTCAATAAATACGAACAGTAGAATCAACGAAGAAATGATGGAGAGGTAAATTATTAGAACAATTATTTTGATTAAAAATTTTAACCCTCCAACTCTCTATGCAAATCCCAATACTTGCATCTGTGCTAGGTCAGGTGAGACAATATTGGTCCACTCCATCAAGTACCTCTCCACAAAGGGTCAAAATTTTGAATAATTACAACTCTTATAAAATGTGATGTAAGAGTCCGATTATCTTCAAAGTACACACATCCGTCCGTCTGTCCATGTATTTTTGTAAACAAAGTACAGTTCGCATTTATTGCCCTATCCAGATGAAATTTTGCACAAATCATTTGTTTGGCCCAAGGACGAACCCTATTGAAATAATCGGTCAAAATTTAGATATAGCTCCCATATATATCTTCGTCCGATTTGCCTTTTATTGTGCACCAAACGTGTAATATCAGTCCGAATAGTATGGATTTTTTCACGTACCATCAGATTGCACCTGAAAATAAGTATGCCAAATTTGATCGAAATCGGTTCAGATATGGCTATAGCTCCCATATATATTGTTCATCCGATTTGTTATTTTTGTTATTTTTGTCCAGCCGTAATATGCACTCTGTAACAACAATATTTGGGGAAATATATCAAATACAGCTCAGAAATACATTTGCTAAATTTTATCGAGATCGGTTCAGATTTGGATATAGCTCCCATATATAACTTCGTCCGATTTACCTTTTATTGTGCCCCAAACGTCTAATATTTGCCCAAATGGGATGGAATTTGGCACTTACGACCGAATTGAGTCTAGAAGCTAGTATGTCAGATTTGGTGAAGATCGGTTCAGATATAGCTATAGCTCCCATAAGTAATGTTCATCCGATTTGTCATATTTGTTACCCACAGCCGTAATATGCACTCCGTAACAATGATATTCAGGGAAATATATCAAATACAGCTCAGCAATATATTTGCCAAATTTTATCGAGATCGGTTCCGATTTGGATATAGCTCCCATTAATATTTTTATCCGATTTCAAATTAATTGTGCACAAAATGGGCAATACAAGTCCGAATTTAAAAGATACAAATTCTTCGGCATATTTAGGCTGTTGAACTTTAAATTATAATTATAATCATAGCGTGTATGATTGAATTCTCCCATAAAAACTTTTAATTGTTATGCGCAGCTCTACTAAATTAGCAAAGTGGTGTAGGGTATCATAATTTACGACTTATTTACTGGTTTTTATTGATAATATGACAATCGTTTATTTTATATTGAAGAACTGAATTATAAATTTATTTCACGAAATTAATTACAAATTCGGATTATGTATATTGTTTTTAAACTAAAATGAAGATGTCATTGTAAAAAAATGCAGTGAATACCAGTTACTTTTAAAAAAGCTTACCATATCTCTGCAAAAAAAATCATATATTTTAAAGGAAAGACGTAATAATGAGAACCCGATACTGTGAACTTTATACTTCCATTTCCTAAAGTAAGGGATAACAAAAGTGGAAAGATATAAGAACGGGCCATAGACTTTTAAACATGCAATACTTGGTTTTGTTTATTTTACTTTTTTTTCACAAAATTGAATACAAGATAGAAGGAAAATATTGTTTTATTCCACAATATTATTTTATCTGGCATTATTTTTAAAAGCAAGACCTTCAAAAATTGTACTATTAAATGCTTGATATAAATGTGTACAACTCATAACACTAATATGATGTGTAAACTAGCCTTAAGATATCGAATGTTTAATTTTACTGCGAATTTAAGCGTATATTAAATGTTATATACCAACACCTAATTAATATTTCCAATGCATTATTCTAGTGCTACCTGTTGCCGAGCATGAGAGAGTACAGTTAAATATTTCGTTTTTCATATTTCAGATTGAAAAAAGTGCAAAGAAAATACATTTATTTGTTTTTCGTGAAAACTTGTTGCTTTAACCCCACGAAAATAAAAATAGATCAAAAAAATTCGATGAAGAAGAAAATTCGCAGAGGAAATTACAATAGAAGAAATAGCAATAACAGCAACAAGACGAGGACAATTTCAATCAGAACAAAGAAAACAAAACAAGAAAATAGAACGATCTAAATGTATAGATAGATAGGTAGGTGGTGGTGGTATAAGCCAACTGTGTACATATGTATGACGGAATAACATGAAAAACAACATGACAACAGCAACAAAAAGAAAATTATGTAAAGACGTGCAATTAATCTCGGCAACCACTTGAGAGAGGATGACAGTCATTCATGAAATTCTATAGGTTTGTTTAGTTTTATAAATATATGTGTAATTGTTTTATCTTTCTCAAAAACATTTATCAATTACATGACACCTACGTTAAACGTTCTTTTGTGGCTTTGCACTTAATTGAAATAAAACATAAAAAATACTAATTTTATTTAGGAAAAAACATGAATATCGTGCCAAAACTTGTTAACCAAAAAAATGTTGTGCGCAGAATCTTATATCTATTTTTCGTCACCTATTGATACATAAATACCAATCCCCTACATTTCACTTAGGGATGCTATAAGTTATCCATTAAGTTATCTACTTAGTTGAATTTTTTAAAAAATAATAGATCTCTTGTTGAAGATTTTAATGGAATCGTTGACATATTTCGTAAGTAATTAAAGATTTAAGTATTTAAAAATTGTGATTGTTTGTGGGTGCTAGACCACAAGTAGGCCGATATCTATCATCTTCACATCATATCTTGTGTTAGTAGAAATATTGGGATATGTGAAGTTTTAAGAGAGTCGGATGCTTATTTCACATTTTATGAGAGATATAATTATTCACAATATTGACCCTTTGTGGGGGAGGTATCAAAAGGTGTGGACCGACATATTCCATCTTCACACCAG